CTCGCGCTCGAGACGTAAGGCCGTGGTTGCAGTCACGTCGGCGGTGAGAGGCGCCCCTCCTCTGACGGAAGGTCGTCAGCGCTCGCCCCGCGCGCAGCACCATAATGGATCTTTACGGAGACCCGCCCGACCACACCGCTCGAGCTCGTGCCCGCACCATACTCGCCTTACTAACAATGCAACAATATAAATCACCTTGCCACCACTTTTTTATACCGCATTGTACTGAATATTCAATACACTGCTTGTTTCACTTTACTCGTTTTATCTTGCAAATTTGAAGTTGGATTGACGCTGCAAATTATTATTTTTTGATGTTTGACGTATTCCCTCACTGTTATCAATGGTAGCCATGATAACAGGCTGCACGTTTAAGTGGCTGGAGTAATAATCTAATCAGTTAGCACGCGCAAAACAACGTTTAATTACATATAGTTCATTAACCGGAATGGAAACTTTATATGAATCAATGTATATACATTATACGGATATCGTCGCATAAATGATTTACGTATTGACGACAAAAGTTTTCGCAAGCGTGGCAAATCCAGCTGTTTGCTAACAGATGGAAAATTGCATCGATAGTAATTGCTTGGCCTGTAAGGCGTGTTTCGTAGTTCATTTGGTTTGCTAAAAGACTGATCGAACGCAAGGTATTCTGGTTGGAGTGCAACGTTTTAATAAGCCCAGTCTCGACCAACGAGCGATCAGCGGGCGAATGAAAAACCCCCGCAAGACGAGCACACGCGAGAGTGTTCGCTGGCAACAATGCGCGAGACTCGAATACTGTTTTTCCACATATCTAATTAAATGAATCGGCGTTACCTCACCGCTACTGACGATTGCGACAAGAGTGGCCGCATCGTCCATTAGAAAGTCGACGAATATGCAAATAGTATCGTAGAAACCTCACAAATAACTGGCCACTCACTTCGCCTTTAAATGTGTCTGCGATGAAAGTGACTACTACCGTTAGTAAATTGTGTTCGAACAATTTCCTCCGCGTACACATTGCCAAATTCACTGACTTGATCTCGTATGACACGGTTAAAACTTTTCCTATTTTTTGAGCAATCATTTCTTGTTGTATCATTAAAAATGAAAACATCTTGTTTAAACAGATAATTGTTTATCAACATATCCAGCTACTTGGGCGCTCTTACGGTTTTTTATTTATAAATAACACTATTTCTTTTCACTATTTCACGTTTGGGATATTGATATTGATTTGCAATACTTTCGCGTTATCTGTTGAAAACTCTTGAATAGCTGCAAATTACTGTTTGTTTTTAAATTAAGTGTTTATTACAATGCAATCTAATGTGTTTATCAGTAAAAAATTGGTTTATCATTTGAACATCCACGTGAATGTGACATTGAGTTGAAGACTGATAAGGGTGTAAACAGTAATTATGTTAATTTATTACTAAACTAGAAGAAAATTAAAAAAATATCTTAATATTATGAATACGTTGTTATTATTTTACGCATTGACCTTCTGTTGTTCTTTGGCTTGTTTTCGAATACTTGGATGTCTCCAGCTCCCTGACTTTGAAGGTTGGACTGTAAACAACTTTAAATTATCAACAGATAATGTAAGAGAATAAAACGGTAAGCAATTAACAGGGCAGCGATCACTACCCGGCTGCGTGAATTTCCCGCTACGGGTCGTGTTAAAGTGAAACATTTATTATCGGTGGCTGCTGACGTGTGTCAGTATCGGAATAAGATATAATGTATTCACGGTTCGTAGTATTTAAAATCGAATTTGCATCAACTGAACCGATCCACCTCCGCGACATTACGTCAATAAGATACCACACATTAGCTCGAGTCTGGGACGCTTGTGCGCTGTTACGCGTCCGGGTCTGTCCCGCATACACTTTGTTTACAATGTCATGTAATATACAAATAATTCTCGGAATCGAATCGAAACGGAACTTATTACCTGTAGGTATAAGCCTCCGTGCGTATTGAACCAAACCCTGAGGCTCGAGCCAACAAAACAAGCCTGAGACGTAGATATGTGTTTGTTACTTGTTATATCTGTCGGTCGAGTGAGCCGAACAGACCGGTTGCGACGGCCTCTCACTTTGCAAGTCCGTGTACCGCTCGCCGCTTACTGTGAAATTAGGTAACTAACAAAAGCCACAATCTCTGCGCACGACGGGCAACCACAAAAAATCCTGCAAAATTAAAATTAAATCCAATGGAAAACAATAAAAAGCGCGTGTAACCTGACGTAATTTCAATGAAAACAGGTGTCGACGCAGTTATCACGCATATTCATTTGATAAGCCGAACTATAAATTAATCGACTGAGCGGCATTTGTACAGCACCTTGAAAAAACGGATGATGGATTTCCTCGTATTTTCCGGCCCAACCACAGCGCACAGTCGAACGACCTTCGCAATGTGACAAACAATAAAACTAACGACCTTGACATAATACCATCTGCAGATGCATTGGACTCTTTAACTATTAATAAATTTCTAATGATGTATGTAAATAATATTAGTGACAATCCCAAGAGAAATTGGTCAGCATAAACAGCAAACCAGACAATGGAAGAAGTCATGAGCGCACAGATGATGCGGGCGAAACGGCTGTTCACCGAATGCCAAAGTATTCCATCGCGAGGCGCTCTTTATATCGTTCTGTAGTAGTACCACAGAGAAAGCCGCGCCCCGCGCTCCCCCGCACGGCGCCTTCGCACTCCGTCCGTAGCGGGTTTTTTCCTCATTAACTCTATAATTCCATACACTGGGTATGTTCGTGTTTATCACTCGCGTCTCGGCTGCTCGACGTCATAACTTTGTTTGGACATTAGCATTTGTATAGATCATTTACAAAAACTACTAGTCCACACTATAATTTTGTTGTTTAAGATGTTGTTTTGCAACTTTTTTGCTTCAGAAACGCATGCTCTACATTTGAACAAGTTGGTTTCTTGATTTCTTGTGAAGAGCGAGACCAAATTAACTTAACATTACTTTCCTTAATTAGTATAGTAAGTACCTAGTTAGCATTATTTTCCTCAATGTTTATGCGTTGTTAAATTTGACGAGTGACAGCAATTGCACCTGAACAGGAACACAGGAAGGTAAAGCAGGGTTGCGAAACGTGGCCAACATATCAGTATCAGTTAACATGTTAGCGGTGAGACTTGTCGGGTTATTGCTCGGTCTCGCGGCGTTCTCTTTAATAGGTTAATTGCCTGGCATTGTGGTGCTGGCACACATCGGCAGCCGCGACCTTAAAGCAGCTCGCGGCCACGCATGTGGGTAGGTGTGAATCGTCCGCGTCACAAAAGTACACACGCCTGGACACCTCGGCTTGATTGCGGTCGACGCGTGTCTTTAACGACAATTACTATTAACAATGTTCACCATGTCGTGGTCAATATTTTTAACAAACACTAGACATTGACTCAAGGTGACAAATATGGAATAAATTGCTCTGTATATCTACCGCCTTGGTGCAGTTTTACTCAATCATCTATCTATCTACCCACTAGTGTCTTGGAAACGGATGTGTAACACTGATTCAACGATTTTTTTTTCCTAGCATCGCCTATGGAACCGTCAAGTGTTTCCAGCGACCAACCTCTATAAACATTAAGCTTCTATATTTGCTCTTATTTCGGCAGTATTCTTGTTCCACTTACGATATTGGAAAAGCATGTTCTGCATGTAGCTCTAATGTAAACACTGCTGATATTTCCATTAAAAATCATATGTGAGGCAGTAAGCTGGTGAAACGGTACGATGCGCTCAACGGTTGCAGCGACGTTGCCATTCTGGGCGATGAAAGTCATTGCTCACTTCTGACTTGCACATACGGTTGCAATCGCTCGGTTTATTAGTCCAGGATACCCTTATTTGGATCGTCAACAAGACTTGACGTGGGTTTCTCGTAGGAGTCAGTAATTTTTTTATCATCATTATCAATACACGTACAGCCATCGACTCGCTGATATTACTAGGATCTACCATATTATAAAACACCAAAGTTACATGTTTATTACTCAATTACGCTTTGACGGTTACGAGTGCAATTTATACGAAGATCCGTATATCTCCATACCATTGAAAAGTAATCCGCAGATTCGGATTTTAAATACATTATTCGGAGGTAAACCTTTCATTCCGTGTGGACGATATTGGTAACAAAAGTTAGCCGTGAATAATATACCAAATAGTAACATCTTAACAACAATTTAGCTAGTATGATTCATATCGAAATCATAGCTGGTTCTTCACACGTCAAGGCACGCGACGAAAACATATTATTGCAAATTATTCACTCACTCTTAAATTACTACTAGCTAGCTTTGTTTCCTCCTCTGTCTTGCTCCTTTACAAATAACAGTATTCAATTATTCGAATTTAAAATTCAACATACTGCAAGAACAAGAATGATTCAGAATTTTCCATGTACCGTGTTGCGTAATTCTTGTCAGAAAATTTGCAATTGGGCGAACTTTTGCGTCACATTCACATATAATTTATCAATTTTATCACATACGTAATATAAAAAAAAACCGCGATCTACGCATGTTCTGATGCGGAGTGTTTTATGTCAACGGGTCTTAACACAACATACAAGACCACACACATCCATTTTGAGTTCTAAACAATAATTAACATTTTCCAAAGATGACATTACGTCGATTGTGAAATTATGTAAATTAGGCTGTTACGACTAAATACACTTTTATATCTAGCACTATTTTGTCTGTGTATATTTTGGCATCTTCTTGTTTATTGCCTTCACAAAGTGGTCGTAGATAAAGTAATGATAAATATAGCTTATATTTGTACTGTTGATAACTGTCGAGCCACTTGCAGGCGCATGGGTACTACAATTGATATGCTCTATAAATTAAAATCTTATTTAAAAAATAAGGGTGGCTTACTTTTGTCTACGATCGCACCCGATGGTAAGTAAACATAAGGATATTTAACACAAATTGAAGAAAACATTTTTCTTTTTGCAGAAAATCGCCATTCCGGCGCCTAGTAATGGCAATGGATCGTCGGGTGAGGCTACGTTTCACTTCAGCATCAATAGCAATGCAGAAATGGAGGGTCCACAGGTAATAAAAATTCTTCGTACGAAGTTCTACGTTCCTTGCATACTGAACACATTGAACTAATCAAATAAATTCTGAAATAATCTCTTTCGTTATTTAATGTATAAAAAATTTTCCTACTCAAAAACACCCTTATCTTTTTATGTTAACAACTTCGGTGACCAATCAGGTGTCACTGTGGGGTCTTAATGAGAAGGTCACGGCAGGTTCAAAATAAATATAAAATAAAATAAATTTACTTTTGGACTTATAGAACACTGTACATCCCTAATTTGAGACCAAATGTTCAGGTAGTATTTGTAAAGCTGCAACTGTGAATACTGCCCTCGGAACGAAAAAAGGCAGAAGTGCTGTGTAAAGTACGCATAATTGAGCCTTTTTTTATTACGAGGGCAGAATATGTTCTGAGAGTCGTATTCTAGAACTCTACTCAATGCTTAAGTCAGGACTTGAGTATGATTCAAAGCACTAGAAATCATACTCGAGTCCCTGGCATTAGGGTCGTATTTCTAGTGCTTGTGTTGCCAGTGCAATCCTGACTTGAGCATTGAATAGAGTTCTAGAATACGACCCTTAGAGTTGTACGATATTCAGAAACGTAAAAATGGCTTAGAAAAATGTTTCCACCACATTGCGTGCAAAATTACACACACATTAATGGAGCAATGTAACAGTCACCTTGATTAAAATTGAAGATTTGCGTCATGCGGGTGTTATCAAACAACGCTAGTATTCTGCTTCAGTCTGCTTCACTCGATATTATACGTACAACTTATTATAAATTATAATCTCCATAAATTATATCCAATTTTAAGTAATTTTATTTAACAAACCATATAACGTTATGAACACGGTAATAATAGTCTATGCAAATTACATTTAATTATTATCAAATCATAAAATAAATGAACGATTGGTAACAATATACTTTATAAATGCCTTGGATTAGCAAAAACCATTTTCAAGAATATGGACGCTAAACATAAGACTAGTTTCCTTACTATGGAGCCGTACATGGAAAACACACGAGAAGAAAAAACTAAATATTGACATAAAAGGCTCAAGGTTGAACAATACGCGATAAAATACGAATTAAATAATGTGCAAGAGTTAGTCTTGCTGTTATGACATTCGGTATTATTACTTGCATTAATTACTTGAATGCTATTGATAAATGTATCATATCTTTTAGTGAGAAACACAATAATAAATATACAAAAATTTAGAAATTTCCAGAAGTTGATAAGCAAAAACATAACAAACGTGATTATTTGCTCAAGTGGGATCGGAACAACGTTGAATGGATGCCACCAATGAAATGTTCTATTGACATTATCTAGCGTCATTGTTTGACAAGTAAACTTATTTTAATTTGTACAATTTGCGTCACATCTGATATTTAGTACTAATTAAAAAAAATATAATAAAATTTAAGATTTTGTATATACAAACTCAATCCAGGTCTAATTTTTATTTTCACGCTTTTATTGTAGCCAACTTATGTAAAAGTAAAAACACACACGTGTCATCTACTTATATGAAAACAATTATTACAATACGTTGAGCGGCCATAATGTTATATTATAACTTATGCGGAATTATCGGTGAGCGCGGTCCGCATTATGTATTTTTTCGCCATAAAAATATTTAATTTCTCCACATCGTTAACTGGTTTCAGCTGATCCGCCAAGATGGCGGTCGGTAATTGCCTCAGATTAATATTCTCTATGGCTCCCCCTTGTAATACGCGCTTGATGGGTTTGTAGGTCGAGGAACGGTTGCAGTCGATAATAAGTTGTACTGGCCCACAAATTTGTCAGAGTAACTTACGTATGGATACCTTGGACCATGTCCCAAATACCTGCATCATAAACGGACATAGTTTGCATCCAAAATTTTCAAATCATAAATGCCGACTGTGCGAACCTTTTCAGTTTATCACGGTCTAGTATGTATTGATTAATTATTCGCGGTCCAAAAAGATTGTTTAAGTCTCTTCCGTCAAGCTTTACTCTGTGGCGATTTGTTCTTGTTGTATTATCGACGACTTCCGTAGCTGCCTTTTGGGGTTGTCTTGCGTTATGCTCAGTATTATAGCAAAAAAACATTTGTTCAGATTTGGAATGTGGAGGGGAAATGCGCTTACTGCGAACGTTACTCAACAGCCGTTAGAAAGTACGATTTCAGGCTCGAAGTGTTCGCGTTGCATTTCAAAGACCAACTGTTCTAAAAATGTTTTTGTCGCCTGTTTTCAAGTAACCAAGTCGATTTATCTTGTCTATACTACAAACGACAGCGTGGGTGTGACCTTTTCACCCTCCCACGAATTGCGCCACTCAAAGGGGGATGTAAATTTCACGCCAATTTACACTGGATCATCGCGTAAACGCGATGAATGTTCTACCCACGCATTTGAACAGAATTAGCAAATCTTAAATCCGAAGTCAATAGATATGCATCGTTTGCAATAATTGAACCGTGATCATTTTCATATTCAATCTCATAGACCGATTGAATAATTTTTTACGGAAAGGAAGGATTATTTATATATTTCCACGCTTGTCAGTTGCCCACGCCCACATGACTTCAGAAAATAGCTACCGATTTACTTTACGTTTTTTTAACGAATGTGTTAGAAAGCAAAATCTATAATAGATGTTGGTGTTTGTTTTCAGGGTTCGTTTGAGTGCGTCAGGAGCGGCGGCGCGAGGCGTTTGGAGTCGTGCGGGCCGCTGCCGCGAAGAATGCGCGTGCAAGCGAATGACGACTCGTACGAGGCCACTAAGGACCGCATGGCGAGAACGGTCGCTGCGGAACAGAGTAAATGGTATGAAAACCATAATAAAACCTCCTACTAAAATTACAAAATGTAATAGGGACTTTTTGAAGAAGACAGGTTTCTGCAGGCATATTGCGCTCAGCTTAATACCAGCAGATAACCCAATAATAAGGGAAATCCTATACATCTAGGTAACAACGATCAAAACATGATGGGAAACCATCGAAACCATCGAAAATCGAAACCATTATCAACTATCATATAATATTAGCTTGAAATCAGAAAATATGAATGCAGTGTCTACATAAAAAACACTTCTTGATTACAGCACCCGCGTGATAAAGCCCAACCAAACCGACATCGGTCGTCGTGTCAAAGTGCGTTCTTCGCATCCTCTCTTCTCGTCCGGGCCGACTTCGATTCCAGATAGACTCGAAAGGCCCGAACGGCCAGATAGACCTGAAAGGCCTGAACGGGTGGAACGACCCCTACGGGTGATACCCCCCGCGTCGCGGCCTCTACCCCCGCAACCGCACCCGCACCTGCAGCCGCAGCAACCGCAGTCGCAATCGCAGCTGCAGTTGCAGCAGCAACAGCAACGTGCTCCCCCTAACCCGGACCTGTGTAGGCGGTCCATAAAGTTAGTACCGTTTTCATACATCGATACGTAAGTCGCTTCTGTGACACTTAATACTTAACCTGAATTATAATATCAGATGACAAAAATATTGTTGTCTTTTTCAATCTCTATTCATTTAAAATGTACAATATTTTTGGATCTAGTAAGTAAGTGCATGTAAAAAATAGGTCACACAACAACTCTTCACTTTTATTGCTATATAGTAATTTATACATATTTTTAACACTTGCCACTAATCATTCTGTTCCGAACGGCATGTTAGACTAACTTAACCTTCATACGTATACAAAAAACCCATACAATGAACGTACATTGTTGATTACATAGTAAACAGCGAAGTTCTTTTTCGAACAACACTGTTAACAGACATCTCATGTCATACTTCTTTTCTTATCGGCAGTTACTAGAGGAAGTTGACATGGTGGTTAGCCACGCCATGCTTCGATATAATCAATTATTTCACAATACTTAGTAGTAGAATGTCTAACATGAATTAAAGAATAAGCTGTTTGCGTTGAAAATTGTAATTGTAAAATACTGATGTACTATAATTTACAGTATAGTCATTTCGTACGTACTTCGGTATATCGCAAATAGTTATAATCAGCTATGCAGAGGGTTCACGTTTATAAACCATACGTCGGGCGATAATTTTTTCATATCGTTATCGCTGATTGATAATAATATATGGCTTGTATTTATACATATTTCAAAGGAAGTGTGGTTACACACATTAGGTACCGCTGTATTGTCGTTTCAATTTGCGGCATACCAGTAAAATGTTAAAATTATCATGGACAGATATTTCTTTTTAATGTGCAGACATTATTAGTACCTACTAATTATCTAGTTTCAAACTAGAGACGCGTAAGGAAAGACACAACCGGCGGTTCAGGCGGCATTCTATTTTTCCGGTTCAGCATTGCCTGTAAAACCACAGAAACACGCTATTGGTCAGTTAGTACGTATATCCGAGCTGCTAACTCCGGGGGCACTGACTACCCAGTACAAAACTGGAACTATCCACTAATTAACAAATCATTTAAAGATAATTTGCCTAAATATCGTTATGTCCAAAATTCTATAATGTTATATTATAATTTTACAAAAATTCTTGTAAAAACAATTAATAACTGACACATTATTCAACTTAATATCATGATAATAATAATAACGCACACTCTCATAGCCCCGCACTAGGGAAACCCTATATCGCGGGTGCCATGGATATATACACGTAGACAACTACAAATCACACCCAAACTCACATACAAATATTTCCCTCGGTCCGGGAATCAAAACCGGGACCTCTGCGTGGCAATCCAGCATGGTAACCGTTCGACCACGGAGGCAGTTATAAGAAATAGTTGCGTAATAACTATATTTCTATATAATATAATATAAACAAATAAATAATCGTATAAAGTCGCGCACACGTGCTGCAGGGGGAATGATACCTTATCACTAGTTATTCTTGTATTCTAAATAAGCTGTACAAATACCACGAAAACTGAGTCTGCTCGGAGATAACCTAATTACATAGGTAAAAAGCCCATGCGTCGTATTTAGAATTCTACCTACAACTTGGCCGTGTTTTATAAATGTTCATTAATAAGATATCAGCGTTTTATAGTTTATGGCAATAGCAATGTTGCTTATCTAGATCCATTCATTTGTCCCTTTTTTATTTGGTAGTCGACTTAGATTCGACGGCTGAGCGGTGGCAACCGTTTGTTGGACAGAGCGCGATGGGAAGTGAGCGTGCTTACAGCTCCGGTACCTATTTAGAAAATAGGGAGGGTGCAGTACAGTCAAGAGCACGGTCAAGCTTGACACTTTGTATGACTTTTTAAAAAACGTTAGAAATTGACAAAAAGTTAACTAAGTCGTTACTGTACCTGTGCTGTTGTACTTGACACATTTTAGATCTGTATTTTAGTAAGTTGTTTAGCAACGCCTCCAGCGTGCTGTCATCCATAAAATTAATTTTGCTGCTGGTTGCTTTCTTTTGCCACCGTACAAAGTTTAGTGCGATCTATTAAAAAATATTTATTTTTGTACGAAAATAAAATCTGATAAATTATTAAAAGTCATAGATCAAAAATTATTGTTCATGATGCTAGTAATATAGTCCTGAGAGGTTCTTACTTTTTAGTTTTTTAGAAATAACCCTCTATATATTGCCTTCAATATGTTTGTCTCTTTACTACTATCAACTTCCATGCAACATATTTCCACAAATAAATGTATTGTGTTGTGAATCAATTTATCCTACATCCCGTGCACTATACGTCAAATTATTGCAGTAATATCTAATTTTACTCTGTGTAGTTAATTATAATACCAGTGCCAAGGTTTGCAAATTATTTCCGAATACAAAGGCATCTCAAGGTATAACAAGTCGTGTCACGACCATGATTGCGGCAGACAAAAAATGATTGCAACTATTTCTTTTTAATAATCTTTTTTGTGATATTTGATTGCCATCATTTATTCCTTTTGAAGATTAGTTAAAATCAATTTAGTGATCGGGAAGTGCAATTTGGTTATAAAAAAAATATAATATTATATCTATTATGTTGACATTTATGTATTTGTACATATACAATTTGTTGTAAATAAATACTCCGCACTATCAAATATTAAACTTTGAACTCTAAATGAGTTCTCGTCCTTGTTATTCCATGTCAACGACATGAAACAAGGACAAGCACACCAGTAGAAGGTCGTAATAAAGTAGTACAGTCGGCATCGAAATAATCTGAATAGTCGAAAAATAACCAAAAATAACTATAGATATGAGTTGGTCAGTTTTATCTGAGATGTTTTTGCTTGTTGACCGTTCTAATATTGTTTGCTGACTGTCCCATGATGCATGTGTATTCATTTCAGTGCATATATATTAATTATTTAATTCGACTAGTACTTTTTTTAGTTTTGTGCCTTGTATTAACTTATGTCTTATTATTTATTTTCAGAGAAAGACTTATACAGTTATTAGCATTGAAGAATTTCAAGAAGCCCGAATTATACGCGAGGCTAAATAGTGGTGAGTTACCTTTAACATGCAAAAGTCGGAAAAGCTGGTAATGTCGCAATGCCTTGTCATTTCTTTTACATTGAAAGCTTCACTGTTTTAAGGTTCAAAAGGAACAGTCGTGGATAGTACAAATCCACGCATTGGTAAAAGGCGCGTATCTGCACTAAACCAAAGTCTACGGACTGACAACAATAGATTCCCGTAAATCACGCTAATTTGGTTGCCACGACATTTATGCGGATTTGGTTTAGTCAGTAAATGACCGTAATGGAAACTCATAATCCAATGCTAGTTACGCGTAATTGCACTATCCCCGACGAGATGATAATTTAAACAAATTCGGACTATTATTATTATTACTTTCATTATATCATATCAAATAATATAATGATAATGTACAAATAATGTGGTTTTGCCAGCGGTAGTACACTCAAGTCGGTTAATGTCATAATGTAATGAATATTACAGAGGGCATAAAGGAAAAGGAACGCGCCGTGATGCACAAGATTCTACAACAAATAGCAACAATCAAGGACAACTGCTATCTCTTACGTAGGCACATGTGGAATGATGTCAACGAAGATTGGCCATTTTATACTGAGGAGGAGAAACGTATGCTCAAGAGGTCTGTTAGTTTTGATATGTTAGTTTTAATAGCATTCTACAATGGATGCTACCATTTGTGTACATCATTACAATACTTTTAAAGATATTACCTACAGGGAGATAAATGTCATTACTGTTTGAATGTTATTGCCACTTTGATAAGACCTACTTATCGACTAAAGCCAAATGGAGAAGAGATATCTTCGGGCAACCAATAGGAATGAGTTATTTTGACTAAGCGGCAGTGTGGAGATATTATTTTGAATGAAGACATATCTTACTTTCATTTTGATAACTAAATCACCTTATACATTAATGAGATTGTACCCTCTAATGAATTTCACAATTGGTAAGCCCGAATTAAGCTTTTTAAGTAGGCATTTTTATATTTCGCTTGCTTGAATGAAGAGCGGAATCCTATCTCACGATGACTATTGTGTTCTTTAATCAATTGGACATTTTTCGTAAAAACGCGGTAGTTATTAGTAGATTTACTAAGTAAAAATATGATTTGACATTGAATAAAAGAATGAAAATAAGAAACTATTGAATAAAAGAATGAAAATAAGAAACTATACCGGTAAAATTAGCAGATCAAATTCAATAATTGTAAATAACCATTCTAAATATTGCTCCTAATCTAATCTAAGGCGGAAATGTGGACAAAAACAATTGACAGAGTATAATGACGAAAATTTCCCACGTGTAAAGTTAAAAACCTAAAATGTAAATGTAAAAAAAAACAGGTAATGGCAGACGCTTCCTGGTTCCACTTCTAGGAACTTCCACAAGTCGTGTTTCTACTGCAGAAGTATTCATATAAGTAGTTTAAGAAGTTCTTGGAAGTTAGAAGTGATTATGTCGATAATTAGAAGCCTATCTATAGTGGTATAATTTTCATATAAGATAATCCATCGTACCTATCGATGAACCCTGACTTGTCATTTATTACTTCTGGATGAAATTTTAACTAGTTCCTCCGTTACGTTGTTCTAAAATTGACCGATGCCATGAAAATGTTTACTCCTACTAACACTTTCAGTGTTACTGCTTACAAAACATTAATTGTATAGAAAATGAACGCAATATGTGGCTAGACTCTAGATGGGTTCTCGGCACTGAATTTTTAATCTTTATTTGTTCAAAATAAAACCTGCTTGTCTCACTGAAAGTGCCGAATGAAATAGCTTAAGTGCTCTAAGCTTTTATTATTTGAGCCTATGTGCATTATCTTCCTAAAATTATGTGCTTAATGGCATATGCGTAAGAGGTGCACTTAACTGCTTTATGCATTTGTAAGGTTGCAACTACACCACATATTGTATCTTTCACTATGTCTATGTATTGTCTCTCGTTTCTTTTTCGTGCAATGAAACGTATTCTATTCTAGGTGTATGTAATTAGAATATTTATTTGCAGGCGGAAACCTCAAAATCTAACACCCCCACTGAGCAGTGACTCGGCGAATTCGCTGTCGCCACGTGCATCTCCCAGTGCCAGCAAAAGGCCGAGTGGTGTGAATCCCAACGCGGAAGAGGTCCCGGTAAAAAAACAGCGTATCTCGCACTACCGGCGGCCGTCGCCACCCTCCTCTGGCTACGCCACCACTTCCTCCGGAGAACGACACGCCTCCGACAACGAGGACGAACGGACAACCGGTCAGTTGCATTTTTGACAGTTTAATTTACCTGACCTGATGGTCTATATCTAAATTTGTACAATCTGTATCTTACATAACATTCCAATTTCAACTTTAAAAGGTTGGTTACTTGCAGCATTCTTTACTTGAGAAGAGTGGCTGACTAAAAATTTACACATATACTGTGTACTTTCTCTTCCTGCTTTCTAAATTACTAATTAATATTAATTTTTAGTAACCGAGATTACACCGTTAATTTTCTTAATGTTAATACAAACTTGAAAATGAAATACTCACAAAATAATACAATTCGCAGATTAATTAAGATAACAATTAATAATGTACCTTAATACTATAATAATAATAATAATGGTAAAAGTGGGGAAACAACAACCAAATTGGTTATAACTTATACAGCTAAACACGCCACTATAACGTGTTGTTACAAAGAAATTCATTCAAATGTAAGTAAATAGCAACACTATGAAACTTTGTTCTCAATTACAGTCTATTCAGCAAGTAATATCGAATAATGACTTGATAAAGACCTCGGGCCACAACTTACTAAACTATGCTATCACACGTACTTATCAATTATCTCAACTTATAGTGAAGTCACAGGAGCTGCATGCCAACTGCATTTATACGGTATCCGGCTGCACTGTAGTAGTTGCTATGTATTCGTAATACAGCTCATGTGTGCACTTAGTGTTCTGTAATAAAATGAAGCTGATCGATCGACGTTAATTACATTTTATATAACAATGAAATTTAATCTCGGCTATTACTTACACTTATATAATTCAACCGCATGAAAACCATTTTTTCAATTTTCGACATTCTCGAGCGTATTGTATATATTCACCATTGAAATCATACGATTACGAATGAAGTCATGAACATATTTGGATTTAATTTGATACTTACCTATCATAAGTTGTTCTAATTACTCTTGTAGTCAAGTCAGTCGGTAACATTTGATTGGATAGTTTTTTTTTCACATTTAGTTCCTGGTTTAGGTTGATAGCATTATTAGCAAAATGAATAAATAAAAAAACAACGAAAAGCAATCAGTGTCAATAACCACAAAGTTAGGGAAAACACTAACGTGTTAGTTAGATCCACGCCAAAAGGTTATTATTATTAACACGAAACTTCTCAACTTTAACAAACAAGTTTTGTTGCACGATTTTTAGAAATTCACGCAAATATTTCTCGATGTCTTATACAAACACATTTAAAAAATAAAAACGTTTACATTTCCATACACAAACTCTATGCCAAATGCCCTACAACCAAAAGAGTTGTGCCATTAGTGGTACTAAAATAAATGGAAAATTTAAGGAGACTCGGGGTCGTATTCTAGAACTGTACTCAATGCTCAAGTCAGAATTTGAGTATGGTTTAAAGCACTCGAAATCATACTTAAGTCCCTGTCATTAGGGTCGTATTTCCATTGCTTGAAATCATACTCAAATCCTGACTTGAGCATTGAGTAGAGTTCTGGAATACGACCCTATCAGTTGGTTTTTGTAGAGAGCTGTAATTTCCAGAAAGTCGTTACATAATGTAAGACTGAGAACGGAACGGTTTTTATGTCATTTTTTTTTGACTAATTGACTAGTGGTCAATGCCGTAAAAAATATATTGACAGATCAGATGTCATGTTTATTTTTGAATATTTTAGCGTTAAGTGTTACTACTTTTTGGACTTGTTTTAATATCGCAGTGTTACTTATAGTTATTTAAACATGTTTGTTTTAAAATTAATTTTTAAAAATGCAGGTCAAAATTTTTTTTTTTTGCTAAGGTCTTTATTTCAAGCTTAAATCTAGCAAAAAAGGTTAAGGCTGGTTAAATTTTTCGGGAAATGAAGTACCATACTAATTCTGTACGACACTTTTAATTCCTTTTTAATGTTTTCGTAAATGTGAAAAACGCATACACTTGGGTGTTTAAATAGAGATCATATTACACTGACAAATACGGACTAGCACTGCATTATTTTTCATACCGCCCGTCTTGCACTTCCTTAGTCAATCTTAGAATCCATTAACTCAAGCTGCATTATGCCAAAGTGGTTTTAATTAGTAATGATCATAAATACCTTGCTCATAACGGAAATTACGACGACGAAATAAACATAACCAGGACTAAATTCTATCTAGTTTCTTTGTTTAGTTGATAAAAAATTGCGCTATATACCTTATTTATTAGGCACCATTGCTGCAAATAATTTTTATGCTTTTGTTTGCCATTTACTCTTTTCTAACATTACCTATATTTAAATCAAACTTAAACCTGTTGCTATTGAAGGCCATTTCGTTTTTGTCAGTTAAATGTTAGAAATGTATATTTATAAAAGGTTACAAAATTTGCTATTTACTTGCTATCTTTTAGTAATCTGCATTAAACAGAATTTACTATATTACTTTATATGTGGATAATTATAAAGGTTTCCATGCAGCTTCTATACATACTTAGCGAATGCTTTATGGTGAGAATTCAAAAAAGATTAAGGGCTAGTTTTGTTTTTAAATTATAAATATTGTGTACTATAGTACTGTAGAAAGTAACACTTTATGTAATAACTATGATGACACAATATACTAAGTAAGATTAAGCAATATAAGAAGTCGGGTGACTTCTATTTGTTGGTAGGCCAATGAAATTGATAGTATTATTTTTCTTTGCAGTAAAAAAGGACAACGGCTATACCCTCAACTTTACGACTGTCAAGGATCTCTGTCCCAGTCCTGTAAAAACAAACGGTTTTAGAAGTAGTCCTCCAGTAGAGCAAACAAGTATCACAGGTATGTTTTTAACTTAATTACTCGTATAACCTTATCTAAACTACTTAAAGGTCAACATATCACCTTAACTTTATGAAGTAAATATTTTAAGGTATTAAAAATTTGTTTAATAATATTGAAGATTACATATGCATTTTTATATGGGATGTTATAAGATGATTTATTACTACGGGGAAAATAAAAAAATCACAAGATATTCCATACTTTCATTACCCTAGGTTTAACACTTCGGGCCGTCTTGGATTTGACACTATGAGCAAGCCGAGGCGTGCCATCGTCCGTAGAATTACGTTCATAGTAGTAAATTGTGCCTTTTGAAATCTATTTTTACGAGTTATTAACGAGTTCCATGTTTTTGTTCCAGTAAAAGACATCACAAATACTGAACCCTTAGAAAATACAGAATTAACGTCCGTGCCCGATGAGAACATGACTGATTTGGAAGAGATTGAAAGGTAAATTACCATAGGTAATAATACCATATTTCGCACTGTACAGACAAAAAGGGAAAAATAGAGAACAATATTGGTTAAGATTTCTTATAATAATTTATAGTTTCCCTATAATAATAATATATTAGTTTTCTTGCTCTAATGTTGTCTAATTACATTTGTATTAATTAGTCGTCCTACTTAATACCTTTGGTTTTCTTTGTTATTTACTTGATGCACAAGGCATATATATGGTTAGGTATATTGTTTGACGAATTCAAATCATTCTATTGGCCTTATCAAAACAGGAAAAGTACGTTATTAATAAGTGAGTAAGTAATACTATATATGATGTGTCGACAAATTTGAAACCATGAGCTTCAATTATTTCGCAACCAAAATGAGAACATTTACATAACAACTAAGCAGTGATAACGATATAGCTACGCCTGATAAGCGATTCTTAATTTTTTTAAATGTTATTTTTTATAATGTGTGCCTTAGCGTTATCGTATATAAAACAATAACATCCTGTAACAAGTTAAGCTTTTAAGAAATAAATGCATAGGCTTTCTAGAACAGCGTTTATCTCAAAACCATCCGTATTCGTATACCCCCGTTATCACGTGACTACTTTAACTAACACAGAGGTCTATATCTAATTTACAATAATTTTTTGCACTTTCTAAATACAGCTGTAATAAGTTAAAAGTTAACTGTTTGGGCTGTTATTTACGAAAAGTATATTTTAAATATGGTTGGATGTTTCGCAGGCAATACCCGCCTATAACGAGTACGAGCACGCGGCGAGCTTACAAGAACGAGTTCGCCGAACTGTACGCGGTCTACCGCAAGCTGTACGCCCGCGTCGCGCAGGTGGCGCAGCTGTTCACGAAGCTCGAGCACCAGCTTAAGCGCGCGCCACCGCATTCGCCACATCATCAGGTATCAAATTCTACATTATAACCATTGCCGCAATACAGGGAGAAATTTAAATCGCCTGACATTTAAGGCGATTTAGATGGTGATTTTTCAACATGTTCATATTTAATTTACTATGAGAACCGTTTTACTCGCGATACGAAAAATCGTCTGATTATTGATGTGAACATTTGTATGAAAAATCTAATTTTTTTTTGTTCTGCTGTTGTATGTGCCATAAAAATATATTTCAACACGAAACTTTACTTTATTTTTCAATACAAAATGCAACAAAAACATGTCAATTTACAGACAATAGAACAGCGTATAGTAGAGGAGTACCGACGCGTGCGCAACGACTCGACGTACCAAGAGGATAGGCGGCGCGTCAACTACCTACATCGCAAGCTCACGCACATCAAACGGATGGTCCATCAATACGATCAGCTGGTAAGTGTAATAACATAATTTTGATTCTCTGTTCATATTTAAACAGGCATTTAATCTGTGCATACTAAGTTCATTATCAGCTAAATAGATATCAGCTAAAAAACCCAAAAAAACTAAATGCAATTCTTTGTCTAAAACAGCTCTCCTTAGTTCGGCTTTCCTAGTTAATAGACCATGCACTCACCTAATATAAGGTCAGAATGGTATTAAGATTTAAAGTTGCGCATTAATAATTATAGCGTTGATAATATGTACATAATGGAATGCAGCTTTATTTTTTCAAGTCTGTAACGCATTTAAAGGACTACGGAAATGTAAGTTTATAATTTTTATGAAACATAATTTTAATGTTCCAGAGTTGGAGGTATTTGTTATACCCACAATTCCTATATGGATCAATTTAGATTCTGAATGCGAAACACAAGGAATAGAAGGGATATAAATATAGGAAAGAATAGAAGGGATAAACTCCATTCTCTCTATCTATTCTATCTAGACCATTTTACGAGAAATTACTTGTTTATAGTAAATCATAATGGAATGAATAAGATTATAGGCTTATTGAGAGACTGCTTGCCTTCCATATTACAAGACTAGGGTTTCTTTGAGGTCGCAAATTGGGAATGGCGGCGCGTTCAAGATTTGCGCGTACATTGTGTCTTGTGTTGGATGTATCCAATATCCGTTGCGAATTTGTGTCCTAATGCTTTTCTTACTTGTTTTAACAGGGAAGGAAAACATAATGAAACCCACACACCTTATAATGGCATAAAATTTTACGGAAATATGTCAAGTTCCCCATCCGCACTGGACCAACATGAGAACACACTGAAAATAATTAATTTTAATTTCAGCGCAACCTAAAACCGGAACGCGTGTCAGCGGCAAGCACGACACAAGCGTACTGACACTCGAGCAACTCATCGCCCGCCCGATGTCTCTAGCACCACTAGCATCGCGACCCGGACTTTTATACGTAGTAAGGTACAGTGTTTCCCGCAGTGACAGCAACATCAACATCCATCAACCACGGACAGTCTTGCAATGCCGCGCTGATTGGATTAGAGCTTAGTGCGTCTACATTCACGGATCAACACGTTCACTGATAAAAACGGCAAGTTTTGTGAAAAATCAAAGCTATATAGAAAACAGCAGAATTCGTTCCGAGTGATTTGATTTCTCAACATAACTCTGCTTACCGATCGTCTTGTAAAGCAGTGAATGTTAACAGATTTAGTTACTCTGTGTTCGCCATACCGATAGATCTCAAGGTTGAATTTATAGTGATTTTTATATATGTATATGGAAATTGTGCTTTAGGGACTTCGGTATGCGTCTAGCGCATCAAATAGTGATTAGCACTAGTTTTTGCTAGCACAGAGTAATTAATCTACACGCACATATTGAACTTGGACTATACAAAAATGTAGAACAGTGTTTTGAGAGTTGCAGAATTGCCTTTGCGTGTCTCGAGAACAAATAGTACCAATACGATCGTTGGTAATGAATTTCACGCTATCGTCGACTAATCGGAAACAAGCTTGTAATATATAGTGAGCGCTAATTGGTCGAACATCGCGTGAGTATTCACCTCGCTATTTCGCAAATGAAAATACGCCAGTTTACCTTCACCTTCACATCGCTCTTGAATTGTGAAAGTGATTCTATGACATCATTTGTTATTAAAATTATTTTGTTTTTGCCGTGCTGGTAAACTTGGTGTGGAGGCATTCTGTCAATTTGACTTAAACAGCAATTATTTGTACTTCATTGTATTGTTAAGGTGGAAGTCGTTTTATATGTCTGATAGAAACAGAGTATTACACCAAGAAATAATAACTAGTTAAATATAGAAGAATCTGTCAACTACGTCTTCCCTTTTAAAAATCTATCCATGAAAATTTTACCATAGTCAGAACTGTGAAATATTTCTCGTCAATTTATGACTTCCAACTTTTACCAATACAATAAGTCACAGACATGGCAAATGAACTTAAAAAATGGATGTGAATCCCATACTGAATGGTTTGTTGACAACTTTGTAAATTAAAACTTTTATATTTTCATGTTGACTCTGTATTATATATTATTATAGGTATATTCTCAATCGCTTGCTTCTTATCGTTTTTATGGCTTCGGTACTGTCTAGTGCTGACAATTAAGTTATAAGTACTTAATAAGGAATGTCCTAAATATTATGCCAAGTAACGTAAATGCCTTAAATATTATTGAAATGTAAAGAAGCAAGTGACAGTTTAATTACATTGCTCCTGAGTTGTAAGCTGTTCTTTTAAAATTCTGTGACAGCATTGTAAAATTTAGTCATTAGTTTATTTGTGAAAATAACAACTTTCACCATTGATGTTTGCATATTTTATACATATTCACAAAAAAATTATATAACAAGGCAATGACAAAATTTTATATTGCTAACTTATTTTACAAAAAAGAAGAATGCCCCTAACGTGAGGTATTCGGGTTGATTTTTATAATGTAAATATAATAAATATGTATATTAAATTTTTAAATAGTCCAAACTTAGATATTTGTTCGTCCACATTTTATTCCATATGAAAAATATTGCCGTCTAATGTTATTGTTGTCCAAATGAAGTTTGCCTAAACTTAATTACTGCATTATTTGTAACATGTTCTCGAACTATGTGTAAATAATGAAGCGTTTTAATTCTGAACTTCAATTCTTAAACGTCAATTTAGACTAATATTGTGTCGATTTTTAAAATATATTGTTGTACCTAAAGGACGTCTAACTGTATGTCACTCCAAATAAAGAACAATATATTAATCTGTCTAATTGGGTTCGTCAATATATGCAACAAAATCTACATAATTGCCTTGACAAACGTATTAAGTCCTGAAAATTTCTCATCCAATATCGTCCCTTTGCTTATAAAATCCCTCCATAATTTTAAATGTTGGACGTTCATTTCGTTTTTACTCGTCTTGCCCAGCTTGCATGTAAATAGTAGTATCTTAAAAATATTTATGAGAATTCTTGTTAAAATTTGTTATGAATAGTTAAAAATAATCCTCAAGTTTTTTCTCGACATAATAATCATAGTGATCCGTGTTTATTTAAGTTTTGTACTCCGTTGGGACATACACCGCTTAAAATATCTAAAAAGGCTTTAAAAAACAGTCATCAATGTCACAAAAAATTACAAAAGAGATTGACGGCATTGCCGTATATATTAAACACAAAAGGTGATTTCTCAGCGGAGTTTTTGAACTGAATAATTTTTCAAATTAATTAAAAGTCAAATTGAGCATTTTGTAAATGTAGCAACAACCGGCCAGTGTTGAACTTCCACTAGAATTAAGAAATTCTGGTCTCGTTCGGAAATACCCTCCAAAACACAATAAAAATGTAGGTATTTTAGTCTGCATTCGGGTCAGGAGATACAGAATTAAGCATAGTAACTAATTCCTGCATTTAGTACAATCTGCACCTGTAAATGGGAATGTGACAAGAATCTCCGACTGACCCGATGTAAGGAAAACCGTCTTGCATAATTTGTCCTCAACGTAACGTCCATATTTGAAAATTATTTTAGCATTAAGTGACTCTGATTTTATCTAAAGTCTTCTTGCGAGCCTGTTATTCCAAAATCCAGCACCAAATTGCAGCGTCCTAAAACTTACACTTACTTATATTATAATATAATACTAACATCACTTCACCTTATATGTGTATATATATATTATGTATTTCTTTCTTAATGTTATTATATCGATAGGATTACGACACCTTGTTAAGGATACTGTTGTTTCAGTTAATGTTTGTCAATTAATATGTCAAACGCCAGCTATTTAATTTTGTCATTAAAATCGTCAATTGTTTTAGCGATGTACAGTTTATACATTTTCATGTCAAGTTATTTGGTCAATTCGAGCATAAGTGTCCTTTTGTTGCTCATGCAATGTCGTTTTAATGCTTTTTACTCATTGAAATGCTCAATATTATGATCATTGATATTAGATGATTGTAATTAAATGCTTCGGATTTTAATTAATTTATTTGTTTATTTATTTCTCCATCACATTAATTTTGGATGCTCGTAATATGTCGAGTAATTCAGCTTTCCTAAACATTATTCTTTTTACTTGACTCAGGAGTCGCATTATTTTTATTTGGAATAGCACATGTTTACCTTGCCGTATATTGAAGTTTCTGAGTAAATCTCAGTAACTCAATTTGTTTTAATAGGAAAAGAGCCGTTGAAATGTTATTGTTACCACTAGTTTAAGCACTATCGATTGTTTTATTATGGTACATATATGTAGTAACAATTGAATATTTGTTTTCCATGAGGATATATAATTTCTTATGTTAATATTTTCAAGGAGGTTGTTAATAATGAAAGCGGATATTGTGAATGATGCATTCAATTTGCCAGAACTGTTGGTTTAGCACTGTTCAACGACGCACCTAGTACGTGGATAGTGTTGTAAATTAATAAAAAAAACTATATTTTTGCAGGCATTGTATATTAATGAATTATACCATAGGGGAGTTTATGTTTAACTTTCCGATTAAAAAGAGACTTAATGCCATAATATAATGACTATTTTTTATTGTCTCGATTATAATCGACAGTGCATTGATCATACTACGAAAATCCAAAAAAATAACTAATTCTAGGATATCCCTTTACAACGTAAATGTACTGATACTGTCACAAAAGGGAGTAATAAAATGTCAAATGTTGCTCGATTGTTACCGGTTAAGTTATAGGAAGTTGGACAGAAATATTTGTATTTTGTCATGTTTATACAAGGAAAAAATATCTCAATAAAAATATCATAGTCCATTGTACAGTGTAGGCGATATTTAGAATCTAGTGACGTCATCTTTTTCTTAAATCCTAGTTAGTGATAAATTAGGAGTACTAATTCCCAAATATGTATTGTTCTTTTGCGCCATGACAAACGCGCCACATAGTTGTTTATATAATTATTATAATTTTGCCACTTTTTGACTACTAAATATCAGTCAGGTTGTGTTAACCCCGTATTTTAGTCATTACAATGAATTTGGCCTATTTTATTTATATCGCATGTATTGTATGTATTTAATTGGTGGCATTTTTGTCATGTGCAAACTTAACATGTTATATTACTTAATATAGCTGATATTATAGCGGCTTAAGGCGTGCGTTACATAGGCGATCCTTACCTTACTTTAATTTTAGATGTAGATCTTTGAGTTTGCGTATTCTGATCAAATGTTATTGTAAATTTGCTGTACAGTAATCAATGGTGGGCCGCCGCCGCGCGCTAGCTCGACACCGCCTGCCAAGACTGTCGATGCGCCGAACAATTGATTTACCTATGTATTATGTCAATGTAAATAGAGTACGAATTAGACATTTAGACGCGTTAAGAAATGTAATCGTAGTGTTTTATTTTTTACTAATTTCTATAAATTGTATATGATGGAAAATGAGTACCTAATAAATATAGGTGTCGGTGCAAGCAGGCGGCGCGGCGGCGGTTGAGAAACAATGCTGCGATATTCCTTGTGCCCCTCGAAATATCAGTGCATTATATTTGAGTCAAGATGAATAGACGATGCGGTAGTGTTATTGTGTATAGATGCGTTTATACAAGCTCGAGTCAGGCGGACGCGAACGACGCTTGCCGACCGGTTCGAGCGAACGACGACTAGCTATGAATCCTGACATCGGCTCACGTTAATTAGCTTTTAAATATTTCATCAAAATATAAAATACACAAAAAAAAATGGATATAAATTTCTCGACCAAGTACTGGTTGTTTTTAAATTATTAAAATGTAAAAAAAATTAGAATATAAACAAAGTATAGGTACAATTTATGAATTATACTTTTCTTTTCGGCATTTCATATAGCAGTGGAAGGGACCTAGCTTTTGCTACTTCTGACCCCAGTCGCGGCGCTGCGGCTGGCTCAAACACACGTTGAAGCAACCTTGCACAGTGTCGAATGTTTATATATTTTGTGATTTCTTTGCTCACCATGTCCTCTTCCATTGTTTTTATTTTTGTTTTGTCATCTGTCTAATTGTATAATATGATTTTGTTAAGGCAGGGTAATGCAGAAATGAGAAGAGGTACTTTTATAATTTGAATCGATTGAAGATTTGTTTGAATGTTTAAATTGAGTTAATTTTATCCATTCAATGGATTTTGTATTTGTTATGAAAGGAGCTAGAGTTTGTTGTTTTTTTTTTATTAAGTCAATTTGAATTTCGTCGAATTAACGAATGAGGCAGCAGATTAGTTAAATAACTGTCAAGTTACCACAGATACAATAGTCAGAGGTAGGCTCTCTTTGGCTTTGCCCTGTGTTGTGGAAGCTCGATAGTTGCAGGCTGGAACCACCAGCACAGGCTATAAAGCTAGCTCAATAACCTAGATCACCAGCTAGCCTGTGAGGCGCTCGAAAAATACTGAGCACTTCGCTGTAGTCTGTCAGTATTACACCATGCAATAATGACGAGCTGAAGAGAGGTTGTGAAGTATCGTTATAAAAGGTACCTATTCAAAATCTGGACAAACAGACTAACTTATCTAAACGACAGATAGTGTTGCTGCAATGTGCATTTACGCCATCTTCATTTTAATTTGAATTATGGGATCAGTGCCAAACTTTCTCTTTCTTGTTTAGCTCAAAACGATGCAATTGTTAGCATGCTTGATGAAACAGCTAAGTAATTCTTTAGTTAGTCTGCCATTTTGTGAATATTATTTTGTTTTGATAGTAATATGTAAATCTTTTATAATATATTTGTTTACAATAAATAAATGACAACATTATAAATAAATGAAATTGTATTTTCCATTTAAACTGATGAAAAAAATATAAAAAGAATAATATGCAAATGAAATGTGTTGTTTTATTTTGTACTTACCTACCGATAGGTTTGGTAAGTATATAAAATAATTAATCCAAGAAGGGGTATGTATTACTATCGTAATCTATTAACCCGGGTACTCATTACCCAATTGTAACGTGACAGACACAGTAACGAGGTTCTAGTGTGTACGCTTGTAATAGTCTCACTCGCTAGAATGAGTACCAACAGCTTGATTTTTATAGCCTCTCCCGATCGGAACTACGTCTCTTCCGAGTCGAGGCGCATAATTGTGATTCATAACTGGCCGATCTGACAGTCACAGATTATTTATTCCAAAGGTAAAATAAATTTACACTTGAAAACGTCACAATTAAGCTACTGCTCGTTCACTACGCTGACCTCCCAGAAACTACGGATTGCTTTTTTCAAATAAACTTAGATGCTATGGAATACGCTTTGCATTAGTGTGGATTCTGGAGCCGTGTCGTCTTTCCATACATCTTTATCTAACACGTAGTCTTCAATTTTGTAATATGATTTTTTTATCAAAATATTTTTAATGTAGTAATGTGTAGTTTTTAAACTTAGGAAATGATAAACTTAATATATGCTCCGGAATCTTATTATAAAAACGTATACAGTTCCCCATAAAAGAGTTGTTTACCTTGGTTAAACTATATTCTGTAATCTGTGGTAAACGCATGGAATTAATAAGTACTTCGTACAACAGTACTTATTAATTCCATGGGTAAACGAAATCGTGGTACAGTCAAGAGCACATCAAGCTTGACACTTTGAACTTTGGACAGTTCTTATTGCAAGCGGCGTAGAGTTAAATTTAAACCTTTAATGTCAAGCTTGACGTGCTCTTGACCGTACCATGAGTTTGGACTTTGCTCTAAGGTTAATATTATGGATATCTTCTTTCTTATTGAAATTATGTAGGTATATTTTTACGGGCATATAAAATATTTTAGTAAATGTACTGTGATGCCACAGTCATGATACCAGTCTCCTTAAACTTTTCTCTGAGAGAAACCCGAAAGCCTAGACGGTACACAGAACAAATCGCTCGTTTTTGCAATACAAATATGGTTTGAATATCTGCCGCTTTACCCCACATGAGAATCCCGTAGGACATTATACTATGGAAGTAACTAAAACTAATCTAGCAGTACTAACATCAGTAAGCTTACGTATTCTGCGGACTGCGTATGCAGCGGAGCTTAATCTGCTGGCCAGGGAAGATATATGTGGAAACCATTGAAGTTTACTATCTAAGGTCACTCGCAAGAAGGCTGCTTTATTAACAAGGTCTAACTTTTATTTCTATGCTTAACTCCGTTTATTTCTATGCTTGGACTAGTCGATTTTACGTTAGGTGGTAATTCAAATTTAACACATTTTGTCTTCTTGGCATTAAAAAATAAATTGTTAGCATTAACTACCTTAGAGAGGGTATCATTAATATGGTTTGACATTTCAAATCGGAACAATAGTTTATTTAACTCACAAATTAGAAAGATACAGTAGGAATCAGGTTCATCATCTCGCTCGGAAACGCATCAACAGCTTGATTGCCTATCCCTATCGGAAACTGCGTCTTTTCCGATTCGAGGCGCATAATTGCGATTCACAACTTGCCGATCGGAAACTTTTGACATTTCTAATCGAAACAATAGCTGATTTAGCTCACAAATTAGAAAGATATAGTGGGAATCAGGTTCATCTTCTCGCTCAGAAACCCATCTGATTTCGAAACTACCCGATCGGTTCGTTCCGATTTGAATCAAAATCAGCACGCTGGTTATTGTTGGCTCACTACGAACCGCGTACACATAGACTGATTTTTGGTAACATGCAATGGTTAAGTTTCCAACTCACTAGGAAGTGACTGTACTAATAGCCTATCGACTGTGAACTAGCAATCGGTACTATTCATTTTTTTCCCGTCGTCTAAGGTACTATTGAGATAGTAAAATTGAGATTTTGACAACTTTACAGGTGAAGAAAATAATCTTAGGGCCGTATTCTAGAACTCTACTCAATGCTCAAGTCAGAATTTGAGTATGGTTTAAAGCACTCGAAATCATACTCAAGTCCCTGCCATTAGGATCGTATTTCCAGTGCAATCGTGACTGCATTGAGTAGAGTTCTAGAATACGATCCTTAGGGTCGTATATTACAGAACTCTACTCAATGCTCAAGTCAGGACTTGAGTATAATTCAAAGCACTAGAAATCATACTCAAGTCCTTGCCATTAGGGTCGTATTTCCAGTGCTTGAAATCATGCTCAAATCCTGACTTGAGCATTGAGTACAGTTCTGGAATACGACCCTTAAAAAGCAAACTTGTCAAAATTGAGATAGTACCGGTTGCCAGTTCACAGTCGATATTACCATGTTTAAGTAATACCTATTTATGATCAGCGCATACAAAATTAATATTGTAAATTATTAAACTACCCTCTTATCAAATACGACGTACTATTCCTTTTACTCCGTAGTTTTGGGGGAAGAGAAACACAATTTGCAAGTTTTCGGCAAATACATCGTTATGTATTGAATTTAGCGTAATTAATTGCCGACGCGTTGTATGAATGAAATATTCGACTCGGCAGGAACCGCACCGAGCTAGCTCGAGTACATAACAAGTAACTTGAGTTGACTCGTTGTGGGAATAACTCGAGTTAAATAACTCGTCTCACCGTCACTCACAACTCGAACGTGCTCCGAAGGTCACTGAACGAGTAGCCGCTGCGCATTGAGCTGTGTGAATTATCGAACTTTAGCAACTTTAGCTCGGCGGGGCGGGTACCGAATACCGAAGCGTGTTAGCTCGAGATCATAAAAAAGTAACTCGTGGGAGTAATTCGAGTTAATCGACTTATGTAACTCGACTCGCCCATCGCTAAATTTAATCATTCCTTAGAAGGGCGCTATCCACAAGCAGTCCCTTCCGTCAAAGCAAGTAAAAAAAATATCACCGCACAATAGAAACTACATTTGATTTGATTTTTTACATTTCCGCTGTAGAATTTATCGCGTCAAGTCTCTAGGAAATATGCCATCCAGCGGTGTACAAACTTGTAAAAAAAGTTGCTACACTAGTCAGCCTTTCTAGCTATTCCTATTTATATATATTTACTATATTTATTATTTATATTTAGTAATTACTTAATTGTGAACATTGATACAATTATATGGAATGTACGTGTAGTATATTGCTTGTTATACCTTTTTTCTATAAGCAGTGATAAAAAGAATCCTTTTAAGTACCATAAATCCCTGTCTTTTTGAACCTGTATTATTATTTAAATGCGTAGTTTGTTAAAAAAAATTGTCTTCACACAATATTAATCAGCTAATTTTTGTACATTTGTTCAGCTTCGTAAATAGAATAAGGGCGCTTCCTCACCGAGAAATTCGCCTGTAATGTAATATTCAAGATTCGATTAGGCTGCGATTCCACCAAAGATATGCGAGGTAGCAAGGTGTGCGTGCGACTGCCTCTGAGAGCCCGCGAGAGCCAGGAGTGCCCGCGAGAGACTTTGAGTGCCCGCGAAAGCCAGGAGTGCCCGCGAGCGCCTTTGAGTGCCTCTGAGTGCGTTTGAGTGCCCGCTAGTGCCTGTGAGTGCCAGCGCGTGCCTTTGAGAGCTCGCGAGTGCCTTCCACTCAAAGATACTCAAAAGCACTCAAAGGCACTCGGGCACTCAAAGGCACTCGCAAGTACTCGAATGCACCTAACTTAAGTAAAGACTTGAAAACATTTCCACCATTTGCTGGCCACAACTTTGCTGGCCAAAGGGAGTAAAGTAATACAGGAATGGAAGTGCTGGCACTGCAGAAGTGTTTCTAAGAAAATTGATTTATCGTGGTTCATCGAGCATTTGCGACAAGTATCGATCCATAGCATAAACATTATTATACTCCAACTCCGAAATTCATTCACTCATATAGCTCACTCATTTTGATTTTGACAGATGGACGTGCAAAGAAATTATTATATTCTGTGATCGTGGATGGATGAGCGATGGAGGTGCTTTTTCACGAATTTATTGAAATTATATCTTGAAATCCATGTGAAATATTGTAATTTACAACAATGATTCATTTCAAGGATAATAAGAATAAGTCAGCGCTAAGTACAAGATGGGCTCAAATGACGAAACAGGAACAAATAATCGAGAAGAAGAAAATGGAGATCCAAGCCAAACTTGAGGCTCAAAAGCAAGCAGCAGCTTTGGCGGCTCAAGCTAAACTTACTAAGTGAGTTATTTTTACTGAATGCAGCTAAATAAATGGAATACCTGGTGTGTAAAAGTAAAACTGAATGTTGATAAAAATGCTTGTCGTTTCACGAATTTCAGGAATGATTCCATATTTTTCCAAGTACCGCTTATTTTTTCTCATTTATATTAACTATTGTTGTATGTGGCCCACCAGTTCTTGAAAAGTACGTCGTTTGCAGTTTTTTTCATTCGGCCATAATGCTGAACCATCACACACACCTACAAATACAGTGTTTGTATTGCAAATATTGAACATTAAAGATAATAAAGTATTAACTGTTGATGTGCTTAAATATATACATAAATAAAAATAATTAAATATTCACCCACCTCATCACCCATAGCACATATAACATAATAAATACTCTAGTATAGATACCCAATTTCATATAAAGAAATGTTGCACTTGTTACTCTGCTTATTTGGATGCTTATTTTGAATTTTAATGCTGATCAATAAAACCCGCTGTGATGTATCAAAATCATAATATAACAAAATCGCAAAGAAGCTGATTCTGTGATTTTAATATTTTACAGTAAAAATCAGGGCTAAAATGTCACTTAGTCTTGTAACTAAATTAATATAAATGCCATCTATACAATTGATTGGAAACAAACAAATTAAAAAGTATAAAGAAACCTTAATTTTGTTATCTTTTCAACAACAGTTTTCACCAATTTACATAATTATTAATGAATTTTAATTGAACATTCCTAAAATATAGTTCTTTCATTTTTTATGTTATACTTCTTATCTAATATGATTTACCTCAAATGTTTGAGGTTCTCTATATTTTTTATTTCATCCAAGTGTCGCCATATACAGTTTTATATGTGTACTAAAGTTAATATATATGAATTGATACCCCATGACCAAAGTAAGTAAACTTTTGTATAGGTTCTTCGAGATACTATTGTAAAGATATTTGCACAGTTCTAAAATTATCTTAATCATTATAATGTATCCAAATAAATGTGCTAATTTGTAAAAACAAAGTTGGCTAGTAAAAAAATGTGGTAACAAGCATTAGTTCAATGTGAAACATCATTTATAGATCTGTGCTCATTATATAGTACTCTATATACTAGTTGTGAGGCATCCGTATAACTCCATTCCCACCGGCTTGCCTAAAATTTTCCACGTATAATCAAAACACTGTAGGAGACTGCGCGCATACCCCACTACTTAAAACTTTACTCAAAATATTCATTAATAAACATGTAGTAAGTAACCTGCGCTTGATAATATGGTGCTTCCTGATGGATCTTTTTAACCAATCACAGCCCGAGTTAAGCCGGTAATTTTTCGACTTTCATTTCATTTCAAAATTCAAAAATCTGCTATCATACATTGGTAGAAACGGCTCGCCAGTAACCCGCTAATTATGGACTTATGATCGAATATTCACTCAAAGTTAAACCTTAAGGCATATAGTGTCAAGGCTGATTTCTAAAGACCCGTACTAACTTACCGCCAATATGTTTCTTAGGAAAAAACTTGTTTTACTATTATACAAATATTATAATAACATATTAAAGTGGCAATTGCATTCACTTGTCGCGATTGTCGCGATATGAAAGTTTGTTTACAAGTAATTAATTGTTAAAATAATGTAATAAAGTAACAAAATTTTATATTTAGTGTTATGGAATCAGTGAAATTAACTTGATAGAGTCTTGTCTGTTAATAAATGTTGTTTTGAGTTTCGCCAAGACGTCTTTTCAAGACTTTTTTAACAGGTACCACATTTTTGTTTTTTTTTGTACTATTTATTTCTAAATGGCCCCTTTAGTCCAATTCGATTATTATACGAAAAAATAAAAGTTTTTGTCAAGATAGGTGATTTTTTTGAACCAGCTTTACTATGAACGAAAATTTTCATGCCTCGCCACTGCTATTTACATAGACTTATGGATACTTATACTTTTTTCAGTAATGTCATATGCCACCACTCATAGTTATAGTGGAGATGAGATAAGTACTTATAGTTTATTTCATATAGGATGTGTATTGTGACATTTCAAATTTTTAAAAGTATTAAATTTGTTATAATTCCAAACCAAAGGATATTCGTAGCGGTTGTAATGTTAGAAAAAATTGAGTAGATAGAAAATGAAGTGATAAAAATAATTACCCCGACTTGTATTTAAAATGGAATATTTATTCATATAAATCTACACCATAGAATTGATTGAATTGGCTATCTTGTCAAATCATGGATCTCCCATTAAGTGCATATGCCTTATATGTGTATATGCCATGTATGCCCGTCATTTTCTTTTGTTTTCAGCTTTGTTTGGCTTTTTGGAATAGTTGTTAAATTTTGTTGTTGTTGTTAACTTTTTGGTTTGTTGTTGACTTTTTGATTTACATGTTGTTTTTTGGTGACATAATAATGAAGTAAAATTAATAATGAAATTATTTTTCCGGATTTAAATCGCGTATATTTGTTTTTTCAAACAAACCTACGTTTCGGGCCCTTTACAGGGCCCATGGTCACGGTTGACCATGGGACCTGTATAGTTTCATTTTCTATGTGTAACAATCGCCAAAACCTAAGAACTCGATAAGTAAAATTAATTATGTTTTTGTTTGTTCTTAAATTATTGTTTAATTTGATTCTTTCTTCATTTTTCATTATCTCGATAAGATATTTAATAGTTATTTTTTCATTTCTTTCTAAATCACTATATCCCTAGGTATTTCAAATTCCAAACTTCACCATACCCATACTATGTGAAAAAGATTATATAATATATGTATACTGATAGGGATTATTCTGTTACATTATTACAAGCTTAGTTAATCTAGCTGTAGTGTATAGATTTGTTTTCAGTATTACTTAATTAATTTCATAGCCATACTAAATAGAAATTCAGTATGAACTTGAACATGATATGTCAAATCTATTCATTTTCAAATCCATTAACTTGAAAAATTATTAAGTATTGAAATGTGAATTGTTGACATGTACACATGAGTGTCAGACTGTTTTTCAGGTTTGATAATTAGACTCCTGTACTTCTGGTTATTTCCAAAACCTCTATGCAAATTTTTTTCATTAGCAGATCATTAGGTAATGTACATTATTATTCTCAATGAGTCTCTAAATATTTGCATCACAAGTTGGCCCCAATTTGGGAAAACATTAGTTCAAATACATAGATATTCACTCTCCACGAATTTTTGTGTACATTACCTATTATGGAAAGTACCAATATGGTATTATTTGTGTTGAACATTATCCCCTTGGCATTTCGTATGTGGATGCTTTAAAGTGTGAGGTAGGAAAAGTTGCAAAAGTAAGTAGCATGAAGAAAAAATCTATTATAAGGTAAGTATATAATCTGATATTGGCATGCTAATATGCATGCGAGTACATGAGTCCAGTATTTTTAGAATAGGCATAAATGACTTCTGAAACAGTATTTGGTTCAAATAATATCGCACCCCTCATGGATGAATTGCATGAGTTACGTCATAAACGTTTATTGCTACATTAGATACAGAAAAATATAACCCACATCGACGACTAATATTGTAGCGACTAATGTTGTAGATAGAGTTACAAGAATGACTGAGGATGTGGGTTATATTTTTCTGTATCTGATGGAGCTATAAACATGTTTTTCGTAACTTCACTTATGCCATTCTTCCATGAGGGGTGCGATATGTGAACTGCTATTACAACAGTGTCGTAACTGAAAATTGTGGAATTGAAAAAACACAATTTGAAAATAAAAATAAACTAAATGGATCTTATTGCCAATAATGTGTTTTCTATTTATCATTATTTTTAATTATCCATTAATAAACGAGAACATAGTGTTTTTTTAATGAGGCAGTACAGGGAAATCCATAACCATAAAAGATACAAGGTAACTGATTTAGAAACCATTCTTTTTTTAAAAACAATTTTGGCGTAGTTAATTTTTTGGTCAAGCATGAGTTGTCCATAAAAATGAATCCCTTCATAAAACTATAACTTTAACTGTAATATTAACTATAATTTTGAGCAACGACACTACTGTAATTGCAGTGCGATATGCTCGTTATTGGATATCCTTAGTGTAGCACTTTTTAATTGCTGGATGGCCAATGGTTCTTACCTATTTTTATTTTAGATGGTAGGTCAATGTTAGATCCATAATTCTTTGCAATTTGCCTAATCTATGTTTATATATACATACATACAGACTATCATGTCTTTCTTCCACAGGACGAGTGGTGTAAATTGTCTTCAGTAGAGACAGATACTTTGTGATTAGTACCTGTTATGATCTTTGTCTCATTTTAAGTAGATTTTTTATGTGTACTTATGGTCAGATAAAATTTTTTTTTTTACAGTACTTGCACCAAAGATGATAAGGGAACTGCTAACATTTTCTCAAACGATGGTAGTTTCATGAGTCAATTCAAGGCATTACTGGAAAAACAAAAACAGGACAAAGAAGAAAAAGAGGAGAAAGAAAAACAAAAGACCCTTGAAGAGGAAAGAGTTAAAAATGAAGCACAAAGACAGGAAATGCATGATAATGACGTGGAGAGTGATAGGGAACACTCTGGAGATTATCATGAGAGAGATCTTCTTGACAAGAGAACTGGAGATCGATCTAGGTAATTAAAAAAAAAGTAGTTATATTAGTCGCGGTTTTCATTAGTAATGTAGGCACGCACACACGCACGCGCGCGCGCGTTTACAAACTATCTCACCTAAATGGTTTTCAGTGCAATTGTGACAATATGTTTTGAATCATGAAGATGAAAGTAATATTTGTTATCATTGACTTACAAATAAATGGATGACGGGTCTAATACAAAAACCACGAAAAAAATGTCCCAAGTCAACCTATTTAAACGTAGTGACATGTAAAGGAATATGAAAAAGCTAAAACGTTGAATTTAAATTGTAATGTCATCGCAATACTGTCTAATTTTGCTTGCTTCGCTGTCAGTCGAACAAACGAAGACTAAAGCGTGAATGACGCTCTGTATACGATTTTAACGCCCTATAATTTCGGACACTTTTTAGCGCGGACCCGACGTCCATATAATTGTAAGTCAATGTTTGTTATCATTTGATTCTAGAAGTTTATTAAAGAAAGTGATGTACTGTTATCTCATTCTCAGGGAAAGACACCGTAGATGGAGTGATAGAGGTCGCAACCGTACACACAGCCCAATGACTCCAGTTGTAGAAGACAGAAAGAAACTCTCAGACAAACAGATCCCTTCCCTCATGCAAATCCCTGTTAGGCCTCCTGAGGATCAATCTCCTGAAAACAGTGAAAGTAATTGGCATGTGTATAGAGGCTCATCTGATGATGAGTCTAAACCTGGGCCAGGCCCCATGGGCCTTGGATCAATGGGTCCAGGTCCCATGGGCCCTGGTCCCATTGGCCCTGGTCCCATGGGCTCTGGTCCTATGGGTCATGGTCCCATGGGACCTGGACCTATGGGTCCTGGCCCTATGGGTCCTGGTCCTATGGGCCCTGGTCCTATGGGCCCGGGTCCTATGGGACCTGGTCCTATGGGGCCTGGTCCTATGGGCCCTGGTCCTATGGGCCCTGGTCCTATGGGTCCTGGTCCTATGGGTCCTGGTCCAATGGGTTCTGGCCCTATGAGGCCAATGGGTCCTAGGACTATGGTTCCTGGACATAGCATAGGTCCGGGTTCAAATATGGGCCCTAGATCAAACATGGGACCTGCACCTGGTATGGGGCCTGGTCCTAATATGGGTCCGGGAGGGCCAATTATGAATATGCCCCCTGGTGGGCCAATGCCTCCTAGAGGTCCAATGCCTCCATTCATGGCTGGTCCGCCTAATTTTCCTATGCCACCGAATTTTATGGGCCCTAATGGCCCTGGTGCTATGCCACCTAATATGTGTGGTCCTAATATGCCCCCAGGACCGAATGGTCCTCCTATGCCTCCGTTTTTCGGCCCTCCGTTTCCTATGGGTCCTAATGGTCCAATGGGTCCCAATGGTCCAATGGGTCCGAATGGTCCAATGGGTCCCAATGGTCCAATGGGCCCTCATGGTCCAATGGGTCCTAATGGTCCAATGGGTCCGATGGTTCACAACGGCCCAATGGGTCCTAACGTACCTATGCGCCCTAACGGTCCCATGGGACATACTGGTCCTAACTCAATGATGCCACCAAATCCCAACGGTAATATGCCGTTTATGGGACCACGTCCTCCTTTCGGACCAAATGGGCCTAATTTCGGTAATGGGAACGGTCCTAACATGCCTTTCATGCCTCCGAACTCAATGCCACCTAATACAATGTCTCTTCATACAATTCCTGAGCCAAAACCCTTGGACGCTCCTTCGATTCCTCCACCGGAGCCAATGAAGCTGCAGAACATTCCGCCGCCCATGCCTCTGCCTCTGAACCACATCCCGAAACCGAAAGACCTCGATCCGGGCAATATACCAGCACCACCAATCGTGACTCAAGGTAACAATTGCCAGAATAATTATCTTGCGAACAGCTTTGCATTTTTATCTCTAATTCGGGTATTAATGCAAAGGTTTGCTTCTTCATGGGACTATTCTATACGAAAACACGAAATTGCGACTTGAAAAGTCTCAAGTGGAGAATCTAAAATGAAATGCTACATGTAACAGTCTAATATAATTTGTATTGCCTTGCTCTTTCTCTATGAAAAATAAATACTAGTTGTAGCACTTCGTTTTATGAAAAAAGTTTATGGGGTTATTCTTCGAGCTTTGCACCCAATGCCTGATTCACAGATATCAATAACATCTCTATGAATTAGCTAGAAATATGTTGTAAAAATGAGAGAAATATATATTGACATTAAAAAGTGGAATTTCTGTGCAATACAAAGATTAGTAAATTATTTAAAGCTATTAAGTAACAAGATTCATATCCATGACCACGATGTAAATTCTCTGTAAATTTCCAATTTAAACATTATACACATAATTTATAGAGCCCTTTTTCGGTCACAAGGATTGTTCTTCGCATGCGTTATTATTGACTATTATTCTAGCTATTATGACTATAATATTTGATGTAATTAAAAATCTAATATAATAATAGATTTATGAAGTCGGCAAAATTTTTATTAGTTCCTATTTGATATGGATTCAACATTTATTTGAATATGTACTTGACATATATTTCACAATTACGGGGCAGAAAATTGACTGATATATCTGTGAATGTTATGGCGGGTTCGCGTGGCGACGGCCGACACAATGCTGACTCGTGGTGTGCAGTTCTCTCTCCAGATGCGTTCCCGCCATCGGTGCACCGCGCGGCCTCCGAGGTGGCCACCAACGGGGACCACTGGGAAAATGTCCTGAAAGCAATACACTCACAAGACCAAAATTTGTGGTAATGCCACTGGTACCCAATATTCCCGACAGGAGGATACGTGATCTTTTATACTTTTATTTCTATAACTTAAAATGTGGTGAGACCGTGTCATGGATAACACAGTAACGATAATCTTTAATGGTATCATTAACGGATGTTTGATAAGAAAGAACATGACATGAAATTGTACAATCAAACTGACCATTATAACTGTCCACGTAAGTAACTCCAAATATAGCAATGGCATAAATATAATTCCTATTACAGGACATTTTAATCATTAAAAGCGTACATTAAAAGTGATACCAAACATATTAAAAGTAGTATTGACAATGAAACGTTTTAAAATTGAAGAGTTCATAGCACGGTCTCACCTTATTTCCAGGTTGATGAAACCTTAAAAGCATATAATATTTCCCTTATTCCCCAATCTGTATTAGTTAATATTATTGCAGGTTTCTTCACAACCCGAATAGCGCGGAATATAAGGCGTTCAGGAACTTAGTAAAGATTATGAAGGATGAAAAGAAGCCAGAAGTGAGACCCGAGGATAAGTATGAACCGGAGTTCTGTATGGATGATGACAGCAATGACAGCAAGTCAGGAGTCAGGGAAGAAAGTAAGGACGGGTATGTACGAAATAGAGCTTTATTTAGTGTAGTCTGTAGTTTCTTAGTCGAAATGTAGTTGTAATTATATTGCCGAGCTAATGTTGACAATGTCTAAATTACCTCTCTTATTCAAGGACGCTTATTTTTATGATATCAAGTGACGGGATCAACAAGTCGTGGGTCAATTGGTAAGCGACACGTCGATCCATAAATGTTGCAGTGCCACTCAAAGCTTTAAATTGCAAAGATCTGAGAGGCACTGTTATTGCGCCCGTCACCCTCTGACACAAAGTTGACCAGTTCTATATGACATTTCCTATACATATATTTATATAGAATGTGTTCCGTACCGATGCCTTACTTTCACAAACTCCTATAAAGAGTGATTATCAGGAGATGGCAAAACTTTGTATTTATTTTAAATTTCTTATCAGGGATGTTAATGTGGATGCATTACCTACTTTAAGAATAGGCAAAAGGCAGTGTGTGAATATGAAGGAAATGTGATGTGAATCAGTCTGCAAATTTTGTATATACAATCCATTTTTTGCATTTCAGTAACTTTGTGCTTTAAGATACGAGTTTAAGAGAGTAAGGCGACGATACATTTCCTTACTCTTACAAATGCAGTTATAGTTGGTAGATGTACTATTAACTGTACATCTAACAAATGTAATATGAATTTTTCAATATAGTTAAACAGAATGAAAAATGTTGTCCCAAGTGTTATGTAAGACCATCATTTTATAGTTTTACATCCAACCTAAAATATGTGCTGGTTAAAGCACAATTGTTGTATTATATCGCACAAACCAAATAAAAAAATAAAACTTGTCTAACTAAAATTTGTCGTAATTAAAAAATGACGGAATTGAGAACATACTTTTTGAAAAAAAAAATACTGAATGAATTTTGTTGCGAATAATGGGATTGTTTTTATTTATGCATAATATTGGTTATCCAATTATAAACGAGAACAGAAATTTATTATAATAATAATATTGCACACATAACCCTGGACTAAGGAAACCCTGTATCGCGAGTGCCATGGAAACAGATAAACAACTACAAATTACACCCAAGCTCAAGAGAGAAATGAACGTAGGCCATACAAATAGAGAAATATTTAAGATTAGGAGGCCGGAGAATCGAACCCGTGACCTCTGCGTTGCAGACTAGCATGCTAACCGTTCGGCCACAGAAGCAGTTAAATAAATTTGGTTCCATTCAATAATTTATTGTTCAAATCGTGTTTGATTTCATGTGCGATATTTGTATGACATTCTGCGTCCCTATAAAACGGAACTCTAATCGAGACCTATCTAATAATTTATAAATATAATAATTTGATACGCGCTTTGGGACAGCTCCTTATATTTTCGCCCACGCATGTTTACATTTGCAAAACCTTATGCAGCTCTTATGATACGTGAGCATGCATTATGCCTTTACCTAGCAAAACGGTAATTGGTAATATTTATTTGTTATATTGACGCGTGACGAGAAATTTTACAAAATATTCCAGCTATACAGAATCTCAGTACCCATGGAGCCAAGTAAAGAGGGAGCATACGAGTTCCCAAAGTGACGAGGAGCCAGAGGCAAGAAGGGAAAGGCGTAAAAGGAAGAAATCTCGATGGAGTGATGAACCGCCATCAGCCGATATTAAGCCGCCGGGTGTTGTAGTGCCTATGCCGGGCACTCTTGTTCCAACGGGTAAGTTGAGAAATAGAGTAATTAAATAAAAGTAAAAGTAAATGAGAAAATTGACTCAAATTGACTTTTATTACTTGCTATAATGTTCTACGAAAAATGACAATATCGGAAAGGGTTCGCGAAATTAAAACTTGTGAAGTACTTGTCGAGATCATTGATCATGTGATAGGTTAAAATCCTCTCCACACAGGAGACTTACATTGATGGAAATGACCATCAAACTTACATTCAGAAGAAAAGGGGAAAAAGCACAATCAAATATGAATTAACAATACCATTACGTTACATTTTTAATAAATGTTTACTTTTTTGTTATTATTTATTTACTGTACATATCTGAACACCTGTATTCTATTAAGTTCAAAAATATAATTTCCTTTTACTGCTATTTTGGCACAAGGGCAGTTCTAATCACGATGACAAAATTCTGGCCTACCATTTTTTCCCTATTTTAGTTCGTAAATTAGTCTTGCGTGTTTGTGAAAATATTCGTAATGTTTCGTAAGACGGACAGTAAAAAAACAAAAATATGCGAATTATGACGATTTGAAATAATAATCTTAGTACAGAGTACTAAAAAAACCGACCTCAAAAGTCATTTATCCACTAGTTTGCCATCCTTAAATGTGGAATATTTTCTTTAAATTTAAATGGGACCACATCTGAGGTATCCTCATTCCTACAAAAAAGAATCACCAAAATCGGTTCACAAGTTAGCCGGAGTTAGCGCGCAACATACATAAAAATACGAAACAATAAAAACAGTCGAATTGAGAACCACCTCCTTTTTTTAAAGTCGGTCAGGGGCTGATAACATAATCAGGAAACGTATATAAAACGAAAGAAATCAAATTAAAATAGCTTATTTCTTAGTTTTGGCTAAGCAGAAAACGTGCAAAATCTGTTGTAAATTAATTTTTCAGTCTCAATAAATCACTAAGTAATGTTTCTGTATAGGTAATAAAAGTACTTAACTAAAACTACAACGTACTAATTATAAAATACGTTCTGGTCAATGTGGACGGGGTCACATTTTCGTAAAATTCTGATGGTTAGAGCTTGAAAACACATTAGCCTGTGCCTGGTTTTCAGTTACCTACGTGAATAAGGGACAAACATACAGGGGACCGATTTCAACTGTGAATCTGTTAGACCTTTTCAATCCGCCACTTCATTTACTGTGTAATGACTATTATGTCTATACTAAAAATATCAACCATCTGAGTTTGGTTACTGACGAAAACACTCACCAGGGAACTGAACGTTTGAGTGATCGCGACATAATTTGAGGCACCGCACTGACGAACTGAACGCGTGCCGTGTTATCATTTGCGGTTTGATGCGAACTTCACGAAGTGTTACGATTTTTCGGAATAGCAAAATTGCACGCATAGAGTACTATTTGTGATAATTTTGGAGTCACATTTTCTCCAGGAGACTGACAACAAATTGCAGCGACGAAAGTATTTAAAAGACTTTGGGTGTAAAATAAGCAATAGACTGAGGGTCATATTCTAGAACTCTACTCAATGCTCAAGTCAGGACTTGAGTATGATTTAAAGCGCTAGAAATCATACTCAAGTCCTGACTTGAGCATTGAGTAAAGTTCTGGAATACGACCCTGATTGTACTTTCGTGACCATAACTGCTTCATTCTTGACTTTAAAATAGCAAGACAACTTAGAAGTTTAAAAGCTGAATTGCCAAGCATCAATTAGAAATTCAAAAATTCAGCTTTTAAACAATATTTTCCAGTCCATTCGGGAGTTGCGATACACCAGGGGACTGAGGGTTTGCGACTTCAATCTTTTCATTAAAAAAAACAACAATTCTTATGTCGCCACTTTCAGTGACTAGATGGTTAATGATGTAAATATAGGTGTAGATATAAAAATAAGTGATGAAATGAAGAAATTTCACATGATATGTCTCGGGCCATCGAAAATTCCATCATGATTAGAACGTACCACAACGCTGTCACCATTTGTAAGATTTTTCACACACGTTCGTCTCTTTGAAGGATGACGTATTAAGAATTCATTTTTATAAATATCAGGTACAAAACTTGCAAAAATTGACGAGGAAGGAATAAAACTGACTACGATGAACCGAACCAACCAAGCGTTAATGCAATACGCTCTTACAAACTATGGTACAACAAATTTGAGTGTTGAGGATTGGAAGAAGTGCGAAGATAACTTTAAACTTAATCTGTTGTATCAGGTATGTTGGCTCTTCTTTATACAGATTTTTATTGAGTATCAACAGCACACACATACTAAGGCAGGGAAATAAATAACACAGTGATCATAATTAATTTTCAGGATATGCTAAAGAAAAGGCAGGAGGTGGAGCGACTGGCGGCAGCCGGTAAGCACAAATACGAGTATGACAGCGACGAAGATACTGCGGACGGCACTTGGGAACATAGGTAATTAATTGAAGAATGTGATGTACTTGGAAAAGAATAACGCACAGGCTAAATATAGAAGGTTACTCGATCTGTTCAAATATACATAATATCCAAGGATGTTCTATTGAACACTTTAGTCCATACATTATTTCAGACACAAAGTTTGCGTTCACGTAACGAGTAAAAGAAAGAAAGATAAATAAATATCAATGTTTTATTACTATGTTATTTAAACATAGAGACCTTTGTTTTTCCGAGATTGTAGCGTATATGTGTTGTATTTGAAATTAAATTGTCGTAACGTTTATTACAGGCTTCGTGCAAAAGAAATGTTTGCAACACAGAAATGGGCAGATGAGTTGACGAAACAAGCTGCTGGCAAACACCATATAGGTGATTTCTTGCCTCCGGAAGAACTGAAAAAGTAAGTGCATATTATTATGTGCTTTATAAAAGAACATATATTTCCACTCAGAATATGAAACAAGCAATTTCTCGCTGTAGTGTATTTTCAAGAGTGATTTTTTAACTTTTTACGCTCGGGGAGAAGCTCAAGTATGCAACACTATTTTCTTATGTTTTGCAAAAATAAAGCTTGGAAACTGTGACAGTGTATATCTGACTGTAGCGTACTGTACTAAGTGTAGCTCTCTTCTATAATAGACAGAATCATAGTGACTAATATAAAAAATCTGGTGCATCCCAGATTTTTTGAAAGCGACAATAATAAGAAATATGAGAAATTAAATAATAATAATAATGAGAAATTAAATTCCAAAGAAAACACTTTTACGTAGGGGACCTCTCTGAAATCGCGAAAAGACCTTTACACACACATTGCTCTTTTTTTAATATACCTCGACAGAAATTACAATTGCGAGAATCCTTAGCCTAGAAGTCATGCCTCGTATCTCGAACCCGTACTTTTTTTCCTATTTAATAATGCACTATTACAGATTCATGGAAAAGTACTCGGCGGTGAAAAGTGGCAAGGAGCCAGACCTCAGTGATTACAAAGAATTCAAACTTAAAGAGGACAATGTTGGTAAGTCATGACTTAACATTTCGCATTGTTATTAATACCTACATAGTTTGTCGGGGATATCGGTTATTTTTCTCAAATCCGTATTAATAAAAAGCTCTTAAATCAGTTATTAAATTTACCCTCCAGCTCCTCTAAAACCCTTTGCAACTACTAAATATCTAAGCTAAGCGTGCTTGGAAGAAATTGCAATTTAGTAATAATGCCGCATGTTGAATATGTGCTTATTCTGTTATACCCACATTGCATTTCTATGTTGTCTTTGTAATTTTTAACGTGTAATAAAAAATATTTCGTTAATTCATTCACTCTCTGTATTATAAGACCGTTTGCGCAATACATTCGATTCGTATCTGTTTCGAGAAATGACGGTCCAAAATGTCACAGGTATCCAAAGTGCCATTTTAAATGTCACAGGTATTCAAAGTGTAATTTTATCTCTTGGTGTACAAGCGATGTTCGTATGTTCCAGGACTCCAATCGGACTTAGTGCACAAGCGACATCCGAGTGACTCTCGAGTTTTCTGATTTGCATAGTCTCGGATTCGGAACTCTATACGAACCGGATGCAGTACGCAAACGCACTAAGACTAAATCGTTGATGTCCTTAATGATACTATATCAAGTGAACAAGATTCCGCACTTGATTAAAAATATGTAAATGAAAAATAATAGCTTTAGCTTCAAATCAGACGCTTCTAGAAACGCTGCAGTGAAGCAGCAGCCGCGCGTCTAGCGTAATTTTTAGTTCACTAATTGTGACAGCAAAAATGGTGTCACGACATTGGCGCTTTAACTGCGCTTCTAAATAATGTATCAAAATCAGTAATGGCGCTGCTACAGCGCTTCTATAAGCGTCTCATTTGAAGGCGCCCTAAGTGCTGTGTGACGAATATTCATCATATATAGTTATAATTAGTAGTCAGTTAGAAACAATTGTTTTTAAAATTAGGTTACGAAGTGAGTAGATTATATTGAAAAAACAAGTAGAACACAATATAAACTTTCCGAAACGGTTATTTCGGTTATGGGTATGTACTTTCAGGAGTAATTCCATCCAATATTTTTGGATGGAAAAATCTGTTGGTACTGCAGCGCAATCTGCATCTTAGAAACATCGCCTTTTTCGGCATGATCGCGAAAAAATCATCAATACGGGTTTCGGCAAACATCCCCGACGCGCTGCAGAAGCACGACATCCCCAACAAGGCCCTGCAGATGTTATTGTATTGTACGCGCAGAGTAATGTAGATACCTGTTGTACGAAATCCACAGACAGCTCGTGTAAAACGACTTGCAAAGTAAATCTTCGAGCAAGCATATTGCCCCGTACCGCCAGCGCTCTATGCACTCTTTCGACATCACTATCGTGTTTACGGTGTTTATTTACGTGCCCGAGATATTTGTACTCGGGCGACTCTTTTGTGGTCTACTCCATTAAACCGTACTGGAGGTACATGATTTGGGGCTTTAATATTAGGGGTTAAAGTATGAAATTGCCGTTTTATTGCAATAGGTTCTTTGAATTTTCATAGAATCTTCATGGTTTGAGGTTTTCGAATGAAACTTTTTTCAAATGGTTTCTGTGATTTTTTTTTTTAAATTTGAAACATTTGAATATCGACTTTCAATTGTTTTTGTTATTCAATTTAGACAAGAAAGATGGATACTGCGAAAATTCGAGTGATTTTTGAATACGAGTTCCGACGCGGAACTAACGCGGCAGAAACAGCCCGCAATATCAATGCTGCGTTTGGAGAGGGGTCTACTAATGAACGCACCGTGCGATTTTGGTTTAAACGCTTTCGTGATGGAAATTTCGACTTAAAGAACGAGGCACGAGGAAGACCGCCCACACAGGTGAATAACGATGAATTAAGAGAGATAGTGGAAGCCGATCCTAGTCAAACTACCCAGGAATTAGCGGCATGGTTTAACGTTACCTTACCCACAATATTGACTCACTTGCGTCAAATCAATAAAATAAAAAAATACGAAAAATGGGTGCCTCATGATTTGACTGATCTGCAGAAAGAAACGCGTGTAGAAACTTGTGTTGCCTTGTTGAACCGGTACAGAAATGAAGGAATATTGGATCGAATTGTAACATGTGATGAAAAGTGGATTCTTTATGATAACCGGAAAAGAAAAATGCAATGGCTGACCCCAGGTCAAATGCCACAACAGTGTCCTAAAGCAAAACTTACCAATAAAAAGGTAATGGTAACTGTTTGGTGGTCTCAACATGGTGTTATTCACTATAGTTTTCTCTGATCTGGTCAAGCAATAACGGCAGATGTCTATTGTGCCGAACTCCGAACCATGTTGACAAAACTAGCAGTAAAACAGCCCCGACTCATGAATCGATCTTCACCATTATTGCTCCACGACAACGCGAGACCTCACACAGCACGAGAAACCATTTTGACCCTTCAGGAACTGCAGTTAGAAACCATTCGTCATCCTCCGTATTCACCAGACCTTGCTCCAACGGACTACCATTTTTTTCGTGATTTGGACAATTATCTACGTGACAAGAAGTTTTCTTCCCAGGAGGCAGTACAAAATGCTTTCACACAGTTTGTGCAGTCTAGATCGTCGGAGTTCTATCGCAAAGGCATTAATAACCTTCCCATTAGATGGCAGCAATGTATAGATAATAATGGCAACTATTTTGATTAAATAAATTTGTTAAAAATTTAAAAAATAAACAATTTAGATTTTCAGTACAAATCGGCAATTTCATACTTTAACCCCTATTATTTGCTTTGAAAATCGTAAATTCACTCTATACGTTGTAACGTAATCCATGCATGATTAATGAGCGAAACTTTAAAAAACTCGCAAAAATGATGCGTACTCACTAATCAGTGAGTAACCGTTGATATAAACGCAAAGTTTTATTTATTGGTAAAGGCATGGGACTTAAGTAGTATTTTAATAATGGTCCTATATTTAAAACGGACTTATTAATACGGGCTAGAAAGGTCAACCGGTAACTAATGAAAGCAATTCGACATGTAGTGTACTTCTAGTGTACTGTACTTTCTACCCTGTCTCACTGCAAGAGAAACCGAAAAATTACGCAAACGTAAAAAATAACTGAGTATTCACTCAGTATGCAATCAAAAAATATAAAATGCTCGTAATTTGAATATCTGTCTACAACTACTATGCCAAATTCATGTTTCGGTAACGTGAATAACGTCTTGCCAAGAGTCTAGTTCTGGAATGTGGAAATTTATTCAGATATGAAATCATATCATAAATGTCCGAGACAGTATTTCCGTTGGCGATTGCAACTATGATGACAAACAACTATATTTTTGTTCCTGATACTGAGTATCGATTCTTCGCGCGCTTTGTGTGAACAAATTTTTTCCCCTAATTTAATAGTCTAACGGAGTAATTTTAGGGTTCGTTTTCTCTACCTAGTTTCGGTGGCAAGCTTAAACCGTGTTTTATTCCCTAGACTCTAGGACCTAGAGAATAATGAAATTTGAATTTTAGTCATGAGATTTGAACTGAATGCTCCACAACATAGCGCTACAAAAAGATCGAAATTTAAGATTTTGTAAATGTAGAATAAGCCGACTAGCCTGACAAGCGCCTTCTAATGATTTTCGTCGTAGGGTGGATTGAAAATTAAAATCTTACATTCAGGATGAAAATTATTTCCATATCAGGCGTTACATTCTACAGCGAAGCGAAGCGATATCTTAAGTAATAGAAAGCAGTAGTCTGCACCCTCACTCTAAATATACTATTTGGGTTTCTAGCGACACAAACCACTATTTTATCAAAATTCTTATCGTGTATGGTGGACTTTTTTTTAACTGTATTTCCTAGGTTTCAAAATACTGAATATGGTATCTTTTATATTCTAGGCTTCAAGATGCTGCAAAAACTTGGGTGGAACGAGGGACAAGGCCTCGGCGCTGAGGGCACTGGGATTGTCGAACCTATTAACAAGTAAGTTTAGTATGTTTTGAAATAATAAATCAATCATAGTTAAAAAAGGTATAAAATAAATGTCTAATTATTTACAAGACAAAACAAACAAAGACAAAGGACAAGACCCCTATCGTGGACATCCATCCAGGGCACAGAATAACAAATACAATAGAAGTGCTTAGTGGGCGTCACACGTATGCCAACAATACGCGGAGTTCCATTTACTTGAGCTCAGTCCGCCATTTTGCGCTTTGTACGTTATGGCCAATTATCTCGCGCAAAACCTCAAAAATCAAAAGTGCCTTATTTTGCTACTTTGGAGTGCAAAAATTATATTCTGTAATATTATCCATGTGGTGTTTAATATCTCAAATTAGTACATTTTAAATTTGAACGCAATAAGTTAACGTAGATATTATATTATTGTTCTTAAGACTATTATTATACATTATTCATACATTTATATCGTAAAAATTAAATTATAATTGGACCATTAACTAAGTACATTCGTATATTTACGTCAAAAATAAATTATAGTTTTATAATTTTAACAAATAGGGACATATTATAATATACAGATAACCATTGACTAAGTACTTTACTGTAGCAGTATCTCCAGGTTCATACTTTTGACACGCCTTTTTTTATTAACCATGAATTTGTTCTATCATGAACCCATAACTCAATAGGACTGCTAATCTCCATACAGATCGTAACTCTGAAAAAAGTCAAAATCCCGTCCTATATCTGGACGGCGCTGATCAATAGCCTGGAAGTAGTATAAATTACGTTAATGGCCGTAGATATCAATTAATTCCTCTTTAATATGAAATATAAGTACTCACTTGTTTCTTTGTAATATAATTCAAATATTGATTATAAGCTAGAATATTTTTTTGTTCATTGACAAATACGCGTATCAGGACGGGATTGTGTTACAAATTAATTTAAAAATTAATGCTTGATAATATGGGTAGATGGCGCTAATCTTAACCCATAATTGGTCGCGTGGGGTGTTTCACACACCGTTGCAGGTTTCTAGGCTCATAATTTTTTTAAATTTGAAGTTACAGCGCCTGTCTTCAGGTTCGTAACTGCGTACAGTCTTCAAACAGTTTTGTCTAATAGTAATGCAAACCACCCTATTTTTTCGCTACAGTTACAATAGGTTATTAATTAAATACCTTATTTTTAATTTTACAAAGAAAACGTTCCAATTTACGCTACATTAAGTTTTACAAATTATTTTATTGAATGAATTTTTATTAAGTTCAATTTATTATTACCACCTCAGTCAACCGTGACCATGGGACCTGTAAAGGGCCCGAAACGTCGGTTTGTTTGAAAAAACAAATATACGCGATTTAAATCCGGAAAAATAGTTTCATTTCCTATGTGTAACAATCGCCAAAACCTAAGAACTCCATAAGTAAATATATTTTTTTATTATTACGTATTTAAGTAAGACAGGTGGACAAAAATACATTGTAGTGACATATGTACAACGAATATAATGGCATTTTAAAGATTTTGTTGTAATGTGGTGTTTTTTTGTATTTTGTTTTGAGGTAGCTGTAAAATGCCACATGAATTGACTGTTTATGAGATCGTGCAGCAATTGAAAGACGAAGAAGCTGTTGATAGTGCTTCTGAAGGTGAACAACTTCATGAAGTCATTATGAAATGACCATAATTGTGCATAATAACAAAGCGAAAATGAAAACGAAGGTATTCGCACACCACCTCGACCGCTGCAAAATACACAATATTACAAGGGGCTTGAAAGTGGAGGTCCTGAGTCGGCATCTAGAGCAGTCCGGTCGCCTTTATATAAACAATGCCATATATGTCCTAGAATCAAGGACCAAAAAATCAAGACAGAATGTTCGAAAGGCTTAAAACATATGTGCATTGATCACACGATACTAGCCTGCCAAAATTGTGGTGAAGAAAATAAGCTGTTACGAATATTGTTGTTTTTTTATTAATAGTATGTTTTATCAGTCAGAAAGACTATCTGTAATGTAAGCTAGAAAATAACTGTTCAAATATTGTCATTAATAAAAGTCTAATTTTGCGTGTATTTTGTATTTTATTTCACGAGTCTATTTTGGGGTGTCGCACACCCCACGCGACCAATTGCGTAACTTTTTTAGCGCGACTAATTGGGTTAATTAAAATAAAAGAATAACCGGCAGTATCCATAAAAATCTGTGCAATAAGCGCCATCTAGTTGATTTGTCTGTTATCACCGGAAATTAGAGTAGCTTTAATAAATTGCATCTCGTCAATGTAAAACAAATTAGTTACGAAAATAGCTATTTCGTACTCGTCGCGACATCTACTACGGTACTAAATACCCGGCTACGTTGTCTTGTATCGCGAATAGCAATCCTCTTGAGTATTGGTCCATGGTTCTATTTTTTTTCTACTATCGTTTAACTTGAATTGTGCAGAGCAAACCAACCAGTGGCAAATATGGGCCTAGGCGCTTCTGCATCCGATATCGTGTCCCCGGAAGACGACGAGTTCGACGCGTACAGGAAGCGAATGATGCTCGCTTATAGATTTAGACCTAATCCATTGGTAAGTTTCTCGCTCTCTCCGATATGACATTAGAATTAGAAATTTAACCTCTTAAGACCCAGCAAACTACAATGGGAAAAGCGCTTAACGCCCAATGTATATTAAAATGATCTAAATATAATTACATGTTTCACGCCCAAGTAAGAATGCACTCAGTTTTGTATGAAAAACGTATTTTTATCTCAAAAAAAGGAGGAGGTTCTCTATTCGATTGTATTTTTTTGTATGTATGTCACGCGATAACTATTTATGAACCGATTTTGATGATTCATTTCTTGTTGGAAAGAGGGTGGTACCTCAGATGTGATTCCATTTAAATTTGAATAAAATATTCCACCTCTTAAGGGTGGCAAACTAGGGGATAAATCCGGTTTCAATAAAACTTGGCAAATAGATGTAATTCCACGATCTCATGAGGTCGGTTTTTTTAGTTTTCTTTTACTTTTATTATTCTATACTTCGTTTCAATCCATTTTCAACAAAATATAAACAAACAAGTCACTGACCCGGCCATAGACGGTTTAGTGATGGCCAATTGTAATGCCAACTACAAATCGATTAATTAATTGAATTAATCGATTTATTCAATTGTGTCATACTGGAGATTTTCCCTACATAAGCATATTTAAAATTTCCGAAATCGCAATTTTAAGCCCTCTTTCAAATCCTTACACTTAGATACTCTTTCGTTTGCTATTGAAATCTCATCCAAAATACTCATTTGTATGCATTTCAAGCGGCGGTCGGTGGGTTTTATTATTAACTATGTAAAAGTAAAGTGAAGAACGCTCTAAAGGGGTGCCACTCACTTTACATAAGTTTAACAAAATTATAAACAATCGTGAAGATGTGATATAAATAGTTATGGAGAGTAAGTCTTGTTTCGATCCTACATGAACAGGACTCCTTCCTTTCTCCAACTTTCTTCCCACGAGGTAATTAACGACTAACGTTAGGTCCAGGAGAAAGGTATTGTATTTTACTTGAATATTTACTTCTAAGTTCATAGATTTCTTTTTGTATTTTGATTTAGATCATTTTGTCACTTTTCTACTTCAGTCGTCATCCTTTTGAGTACTGTACTAGTTATTAATTTGTAAATAAATGATTTTCTTTCTTTCACAGAATAATCCTCGAAGACCATACTATTGAGAAGATCATAACAGCTGCAGTGAAAGCTTAGGGATCATGACCAAAGTTCGCTTATTATTATAAAAAATGCTTGGCAGCCAAATTCCAATGAAATTATGATATATACTTTATTCACTGCCTGTATACGTCGCTGTATTGTATATAACACGCATGAGGTCACCAATCAAATAATAATCAACAGGACATCTTTTTAGAACCTGCCATTATCTTTCTAAAGGATTATCCGGCCGTAAAACTTCTAAAGGTGGAACTGCTCTGGGCAAGATGACAAACAGTATTGTGCGTCAAAATTGCATATGCGTGCAGTGTCCCAATTAATAAAGCCACTATAGCGTTGTTAAGACCCCCATATACTTACGATTCCTCGTTTTGACCGAGATAGTCACGATAATCTTATCGATCCGTCGCTACTCCCATGGCTTTCAAGTTAATCGTTAACGACATAAAGATATACTATCGATCCATCGGTTAAATCAGGCTGAAACTATAGATCGTGAAGACAAATCCGTATATTACTATGTCGTTTCAATAATCGTTTTGTAGTTATTCTCCTGTAATGCAGTTCTAGTGCGGTTCTGCCGCTTAAGGGATCCACATTTATTACCTACGTTGTTTTGTGGGTTTTGTACACGAATTTCTAAATAATGTATGTTTTCTCTTGTAGTGTAATTAATGTGTTTTTATATAATATGTAGTTAAACAAATTAATGCTCTATGAATTTCACATGTTTTATATCACAAATTGCCGCATTTTGGCGTGGAACGACGTATAGCCCTTAGACGAGCGAGACCCATGGCCAGATGTTAGACGTGTAAAGGTGAATACACGTTGGAATTTTATTACATTTTGTTCGTAATATTAAATTATAGAATAATTATTTACTTATAGTTTATTAGTTTACAGCAAAAAAACATTGTAAAACAATACAAAGTATAAAGAATATCAACAAAGTACTATAAGTTTCATTTTGACAAGAAATGGTGACCATAATGCTTTTGACGTCGTCATTTTAAATTTGTTATTTTGCAACATGGCGCGGGTTCAAATTTAACTGGTTAACCCAAATTAATACAAGGATTTTTTTTAGTGTTAGAAATGTTAATCAACTGGTGTTTTAAAATGGTCGTTGGAAATAAATCTTCGAGATTATAGCTAAGACTTACTTCCATTTTATTTAGTGTAACTTGTATTATAATAAGTAAGTACGTTATTTGGCAAAGTATTGTTAACTCTCAATAAACGATTTTAACTGTATTTAATCATTATTTTCATTTTACTTTGATAGTGATTAATTATTGGAATTCTTTGGAATAAAAGGCGACAATATTCTTCCATTTCCCAAGTTCGAACGGCAGATAGGCTCGTTGCCAGTATTTAGAGCATAATACGTCATCAGAGGGCACTTTGCCCGAACATTTTGTATCCAGCGCTACCGTAAAGGTCAATTTATATTGCCGGAATGGCATTATGGAATGGAAGCAAGTTTTTATAAAGAAATTGTAGGGCTTTTATCTCGCTGCATTGCGTGCATGCGTCCCGGAAAAAAGTATCGAGACTCGAAGCGGTCTCGAAAATCCCGGGAGAAACTAGACTGTTTTAAAAGTAGGTTTCCATACTTACTGTCAAACCACGTATAGGCAGTCAAACCACGATATTTCCACATGATATTTTAATTAAATCTTTAATAATACCTTCATTTTAATGAACAATTTTTATGAAAGTTATTTTTTAATTTTTATAGTGGGTACATTTACTACAGTTTCAGATGTAGAGGACCTGATTTTGTTACTACCGTTCTTCAATCTCCACAAATATACTAAGCTGCACTCTACGTGTTGCCACGTCCGGAATAAAAAATAACTGATGGTTTAGTAAATTTTTGAACCGAGTTCTGAAAAAAAGGAAACAGTTCTCATCGACTGTATTTTTTCTTGTATGTATGTTGCGCGATAAGTCCCTATTTGTAAACTGATTTTGGGACGACGACCGTGTCTTTTATTAATGAAAATCAACGCTTTATGACCTAAAAATCAAATCTAAAATGTGTCAACATTTGATATTAGTTTTCGTTTTCGATGATTATGTAGATTTGGGACTTAACCATTTTATGCAAACCTTAATTGCTTATTGCTGATGTCACTAATGTTTTTCTGTATTCATATTGCAAATGTTAAAAAAACATGTTACATAAAGCCTTCTGTTTCGTAATGTTACCTACTCTACTGTTTGACATGTCTTTTATCAACTAAATAAGAATCTAATCGATTGATAGGGGTTATCTTCTAAATGGAAATCTTAGTAGGGAACTCTGCAAAACTAGTCTACCACATAAAAAAAACTGTGAAAATTGTCATAGGAAACCGAATCATGTCATTTCTAAAAGCGTTTGAACTTGTGAAAATATTATTATAGTTTTTATAGGTACCTACTTCAGTTTAGATGTCGATAAAAGCGCTATCGCAGCCATATATTGCAGACAATGGTATAGTATGGTCCGCTACATTATTTATTTAACAATATTTCCAGAGAGGAAGATGTTTTACAACTGATCTAATTTTTGGTCTTGATTAAAATGTACCGACGCTCAGGCGCCGGCGCGTGTGGTAGCTGTCGACTGTCAGTGTCTAGCTATTCAGTTTAAATTTAGAAGTCACAGTAATTTCTCGGTACATTTATTTTTCTTAAATCCTATACAAAAGAGTAACATAGGAATCGTCACCGGCCAGTGTGTTTATTTGTTCCATTCAATGTTCTACATGTTCCAGGTTTTATGTAATAATTTTCCTATAAGGAAGTTTTTTAAAATATGGCGAAAAGGAATTTACGTAAAAGTGCTAGTTGTCAAATGTATAACAATTTAACCTTAAGTGGGAGTGATATTTCGGCTCCTTCATCGTCATCGGATTCACCAACTTCGGATATCTCAGAACAATCGAGTTCGCCTTTAAAGAGGTAAATTTCATTTCAGTTTTACGAATGTATGCAAGCTTCTATTTGCTCTACATATTTTTTTCTTCAAAAGAGGTAAGTAGGTAGGTACTGCAAGTTTTAGTATAATACAAAAGGTAACAGAGGAATCGCCACCGGTCAGTGTGTTTCTTTGTTCCATTCAATGTTCTACATGTACCAGGTTTCATGTAATAATTTTCATAAAAGGAAGTTTTTGAAAATATGGCGAAATGGAATTTACGTAAAAGTGCTAGTTGTCAAATGTATAGCAATCTAACCTTAAGTGGGAGTGATGTTTCGGCTCCTTCATCATCATCGGATACACCAACTTCGGATATCTCAGAACAATCGAGTTCGCCTTTAAAGAGGTAAATTTCATTTCAGTTTTACGAATGTATGCAGGCTTGTATTTGCTCTACATATTTTTTTACTTCAAAACAGGTAAGTAGGTAGGTACTGCAAGTTTTAGTATAATAGAAAAGAGTAACAGAGGAATCGTCACCAGCCAGTGTGTTTCTTTGTTCCATTCAATGTTCTACATGTACCAGGTTTCATGTAGTAATTTTCTTATAAGGAACTTTTTTAAAGTATGGCGAAAAGGTATTTACATAAAAGTGCTAGTTGTCAAATGTATAACAATTTAACCTTAAGTGGGAGTGATATTTCGGCTCCATCATCATCGGATTCACCAACTTCAGATATCTCAGAACAATCGAGTTCGCCTTTAAAGTGGTAAATTGCATTTCAATTTTACGAATGTGTGCAAGCTTATGTTTGCTCTATATAAAATTTTTACTTTAAAAGAGGTAAGAAGGTAGGTGCCGCCAGTTTTAGCATATACGTAATTACCAAACCAAACAATGACACGAATTACTTATACCCAATTAATTTATCTGCTAGCTTTGCTTTTGTTTTCCGTTACCTATACTCAGGATTATATACAAAATCACTTTAACCAGAGCAGTGTAGTGTTATTGAAGATATACAATAGTATGATCTTGTAATGTTGTTGCTATTGCTATGAATTATTGGCAAACGATTATCACTAATTACAAACTTCTTACAAAGTAAGATTTTCAATTCTTCTTTATTTTGAAACGTTCACGCACTATATGCACGGCCATTTGTAACTAATGGCCTACAAAACATGAGGACAAATTTACCTACTATGGTGTCATAACTTTATTGTTTTTACAATAGTGGTACCTATGCATATATTAATGATTATTATGTGACCGTCAAAATACAATATTTGGACGCCTAGCTCTTATTTTCGGTTCTTAAAGCACACCATTTGTGGAGCTTCTAAACCACGTTGGTTTAATCTAACCCCTCCCTCTCGTAAGTAGGATAGCATCGCATAGCTTTATCAAAGGCAGATAAGGCATACCCCTAGCTTCGTTATGAGTTCCGGTAAGTGGATGGTGGAAGCTAACTTACAACTAATTGATAGGTGGTAAATATAATTACGCACCTAGATGGTACACGTGTGTATGTACATAATAATTATCTTTCAACGAGTTAAAAGACTAGTAGGTAATGACGCAGGTAAACGGCAAAATATTGACCAAATTTTTATAGACATTTCTGTATATTCGAGTAAGGTTGAATTTCAATTGAAACAACTGCGTAGCTTTGGCAAAGGTAGAAGTCATTACCTACAAGCTGGCAGGTCGCAGTTGTTGACTGAAAATGATGGACGGCTAACAGATGTTCTTCAAAATTTTCGTAAGAATTTACTTCTTATTCTTGTTTAAATAATGTTTTTTTGCGTCATAATCAGTTTTGAAAATCAAATTCGCAGTAACAAAACTACAAATCTACCATTGTACATTTATTACGAATTAAATTGAACGAAGTATTTCCGTTCACGAATTCATAAAATATTTACACTTCCAATGGAAACGGGCTTTACTAATATTTCAATGTAAAAATGATTCACGGTTCCAAGGATCTCGCATTTGACTTTTACATATTTACATAAGTAAATAATTTCTTTAACGCAATACCAAGGCGACTGAGACGTTGATAAGGAAATAAAATACTATGTTAGTTTTTCTGCAATGTTGTAGGTGTAACCTAGACACTATGTATAAATTTAATTAAACAACAAACACCATGCTACACCTTCCTACATTGGGGAGGTAAGTACAGTTGCAATGAAATTTAGACACGTGAAGAAATTACAATAATAACGTGAATATTTTATTAAATTACTATATTGTGGAAATAACTTCTTAATTTCAATGAGAGTTTTAACATTGCTCCGTGCTTACAATGCAGGCGTCTGTATTTTATAAAGATTTAATAACAGAAATGAAGAATAGCTTCATTAACATAACAATATTGCATAGCTGAAAGAGACAATTACGAATATTAATAAATATGACAGCTTTCAGTTTAAGTAAAAATTTAAAATCAGGTGGAGTGGAGTCATCTGCCTGCCTTGTATAAAAAAAAGTCCGTTTTATAAATAGTAGACATGGGAAACTCGAAAGAGGAAGGTGCGTTTTTTAAAATATTATTTTTTGAAAATTATAAAATAATAGTTTGGATAGCTGCCTTCCCGCATTATAGACACGTGTAATCGGGCAATGTGCCCAAAAAAAAAACGAAACAGGGATGATGTTCCACCAGACGAGGAATCCCTTTCCAGCAGCAGCGGACAGTGAAAAGGAGTCTGTGAAACATGATACATTCAGGGCTCCTAACTACAAAATGGTCCTAGACCTTTGCCTTTCCGCAAAGAAAAACGAAAAGAAAAATAAATAGTAGACAAAACGTCTAATAAGACCATAATAACACAATTTTTGTTTCAGAATTCTCAATATCACTTTCTAATTGGTTCTAACATAAAAACATGAAAAAACTTTGTGTCCCTGCAAATTGCTTTTGTGGTTAGGCCAACGAAAAGTTGAAATTTGCGTACCACTAAAGAAACGCAATAATTTACGGAATTCTCTTTATTTAAACACTAAAGGGAACCTTATGAATCAAATCGACAGTAGGTATATGTTAACCAAATTTCTAATTCGTGCCAAAGAACCTAGAAATGTACAGATTTGCGAGATTACGTACATTGTGACAGCAAAAGCAAGTTTCAGGGGTATCAACAGCTACCCTTTTCTACAT